TTATCACCTATTTAAAGACTGACATTATATCAAAGCTGGCTGGCTTTGGTAGGCCTACCATGAAAACATATCGCATTCTGAAATGCAGGAAAAATCTACTTTCATTCAATTAAACATAGCAACGAACTGTTTTTGTTTTTTTGTCTCTCACTTGTGTTCTATAATGAATTTTTGATTCACTGTTTACAGATTGGCAAGATGAAAGAAAGACTTGATGACTGGTGTAAAGATGTTTCAGAAATGGAAAGATCTGTGGAACAGAAAGCTGCTGATATTCTTACATGAAGTAACTAACCAACAAACACAACTGCTGCTTACAAGATGCTGTTATTGAAAAACTTGAAATTTTATACATTTGAAAATCCATCTGAAAACATTATCACCACTATATCTCATATAACGGACATCGATGTTATATAATAAAGAGATGAAACAATATGAAAATATTTTTGTTTATGGGGAGGGGGGAGGAGGAGTAAGAGTAGTAGTTCTGATATGCGACAGCACAGCACTCAGTTGACAGAGATGATGAAATCTTTTTGTTATTAATGAGGGAGTAGTAGTAGCCTGATATGCAAAAATGACTCAATATTGTGAAAAGGTTTTTTATTAACGCGAAAGGTATCCAGAAGGTTTTATACAACAAATAAAAAAAGACCATCCACATGATGGGATGTCGCAACTTGCCCCCCTGACAATGATCTTCCCTGTGTCTCTGAGACATTTAAGCAGAAAAATGCCACCAGGCATTTCAAACAATACTACTGTTATTGCATTTCTGGAAAATCATCTCCTGTATGGATGGTAGCCTTGACCACCCTGCTTCCGATCATAGCCATTTCCTACTTGATCATACCCATATGGTCCAGCTTTTGCAGGCCCATAAGAAGATGGCCATTGTTGTCTACGTTCTTCATATGGTTCATTTCCGTTGCCACCCCTTGATGGTGCAGGTCCATAGGAGTATCCATAATATGAATTGTTCATTGATTGTGGTGGCCAGGAGCAGGAGGCCCTGGCATCCAACCCCCTGAAGGACCTTGTGGCACTGGCGGGCCATAGCCGTAGCCATATCTTGCCATGGCATCAGGAGGTGGAGGGGGGTATGCGTCTGCGTAATCACGTTTATCACGTGGTGGCATGTTGTTTTGTTTATGTGGAGGTCGAACAGTGCCTGTGAGTATCTTATCACGAGGCTGCTTTCTTTTTGCCTCGGCTCTTCGGCCCTTAATTTCATGAAAGTGTATGCGGACAATTTCATCAACTGCGCTTGCTTCCTGGAAAGTAACAAACCCAAAACCTTTGTGCTTTTTATCGACTTCATCAATAATGAGTTCAACATCCGTAACTTCACCAAATTTATGAAAATATTGTCTTACATCATCTTCTGTTGCATCTTTAGCAAGACCGCCCAAAAATATCTTGTGTGTCTGCACATGATGAATTAAAGCATTGCGTTTTGCAAGCTGAATTGCTTTCGGTGTACATGGCTTTGGATCTACTTTTTTATTGTCTAAAAAATGAGGTCGACTGCCAAGAACAGCTTGTACACATGCTGGATCACGAAAGGTGACGAAACCGAATCCACGAGATCTGAGTGTCACTTTGTCCATCATTACAACTGTGTTGATAACTTCACCATATTTACTGAAATAACGTTGCAATCCTTCTTCGTTTGTTTCTCCAGCCAGAGCCCCAACAAATATCTTTCCTTCTTCTTGTTCATCATCGGCAGGCATAATGCTAGTTAGTTAGAAAATTGACCCAGTTGAGTAATTCAATATATCATTCTATATTATGTAAATCTATAGAGAAAAGAAGTATGATAAATCAAAATTGGAAAAGTGAAAATATAACAAGTCACAATGGCAAGATCACTCTGAATAATAAAAGTTCAAGCAAATAACTGTAAATACGAGGCAAATGCACATATCTTTTTATTAAATAAACGAATTCCTCGCCATGAAAAATTGCAATCTGATACAGCAGCAATATTGGTTAATGTAAAAATGCAATATACGTGGCAATATGCTCATGTGATGTGGGGCAGTTTTACAGCATGAATGAATTTATTGCACATAACTATGTGGTAGCAAATACAGGGGGCTGTGGAGCAAGATGTCTTTGAGTTTGGCATGTGTCAATGGAGTTGAAATTATATACTGTCAATGACGATAAAAAAGTCTCAAAAGGTATCAAAAGAGGCTCGCACTTGCGAATTTTTTTGTTAATATTTTTTACGATCTGAAGTCAAAAGTTTTTGTTAACCCAAATTCATAGTTGATTATAAATCTCTCCTGATTCCACAACCCTGATATGTAGATACTAAATAGTGATTATTCATCTATATAAGTTTCAACAAGCTTATTGTGTAAGTTCATCAAGCCTTTGAAGTATTTTACAGTTTTGACTTTGAGCTCCAAAGTTGCATCTTCATCGCATACAAAGATTGTTTGTCGGTGCTGCTGAAACGTCCACATGTGATTCACGCCTCCTCAATTGCCTTATGAAGAGCATATGCTTTATGAGCTCCAGTAATCATGATCATCACTTCTTTAGCATCCATCACTGTTCCAACTCCAACAGTTAAAGCTTGAGTGGGAACCTGCGTTAAATCTCCATCAAAGAACCTGGCATTTGCTAAAATGGTGTCATGGGCAAGAGTTTTCACACGTGTCCTGGATATTAAACTTGAACCAGGCTCATTAAAAGCAATGTGACCATCTGGACCAATTCCACCAAGAAACAGCTCAATACCACCTCTAATATTTTCCTTTCGAATGCATCACACTCTTTTACCAAATCTGGTGCATTTCCATCCAAAATATGGGCATTAGCAGGGTCAATATCAATGTGTTTAAAAAGTTATCCCACATAAATGAATGATAACTTTCTGGATGTTCTCGAGGCATTCCAACATATTCATCCATATTGAAGGTTTTAACGTATCTGAATGACAACTCCCCATTTTTGTGAAACTCTATCAACTTTCGGTATGTGCCCAAAGGTGTGCTTCCGGTGGGTAATCCCAGCACAAAATAATTATCTGGACCAGGCTTGAATTTCAATATTCGATTGCGTACATATTTCGCTGCCCATTCACTCGCCTTGTCATAATCATCAAGAATAACTAATCTCATGATTATTGGTAAATTAGTTTTGCAGTATTGCTGTATTGTGAAACTTCTTTTATAACTGTATAACAAAAAAATTTTTATAACAAAAACAATTCTCACTTTGTGACTAGACCTGAGTTCATTGTGAGCTAACTCTGTAACTACAGAACTATTGGTAAAGACATTGTTTTTAAGAAAAACGGATAGAATCGAAATCCCAGAATTCAAAAGCAAAATCTGAAAATGAAGTTTTAGTAGTTCAGTGAGCATTTCCGGATTTCAATGGTCGCCACTCGCCAGTATAGACAAGCAGCGACTTTGATCAAAGGCGAGCTCATATTACTTCTTAGTAGGCCTATGTGTACCTAACCCTGTTTTACTCATAAATATTTACGGTACGATACCTAGTCTACCATTCATGCATTCACTCTAACTAGGCCTACTGCCCCATGCGCGAACGAAGGTTTCGAAACAGAACCCAACGGAATACATTTCGAGAGCGTCGGCATAGATTTAAAAATAAAGTTGCGAAAATCGACTGAGGCAACAAATTACCGGCATACAGTTATACCGGTAACGTAACGAATTGCGCCTACTTTATACCGGTACCGGTACCGTATACCGTGGTTTGGTTATCGGACCGCACCGCGATGAGCCGAACCATGCCTTTGAAACTGATAGATTATGTCAACTAAGCTTTTCCAATTTCGCCACTAGTGGGAATCATTACGGCACTAACCATCATGCATCGATTTTCTTGTTTATTGCCGTAACATAGACCAATTAGCAATAAATTTTCGATGACGTAACAATTACAATTTGTGTGGCCGATCAGACAGCGAGAGAAAGAATTTTATTTTTTCCGTCAAACCAGAAAACAATGATGTTACAATAAAAAATGATAATGAAACAATACACAATGCAGTTTTCGGTATATGACTGGGTGAAAAATCTGGTCAACGTCCATTCATCTGGCGAAAACAAGAATTTACAAAACCCAACGACTAACATACCAAACCAGACAATAACGATACGACCATATACGGTCATCTGAGTCAGTTACCACCCAATTCAAATACTTGAATAAATGAATTCAAACGGGTTCTGTTACAATATGAACTCTCGGTATATATATACAAAAAAGCTATATATATTATATACAGAAATAATCTGATCAGAAACAGGATAGGAGAATTGACCAAATAAATTTTCAATTCATTGAATTTATTTTTTGTGGATGGAAGTTTGGTAGGCCTATATGGGATGAATACCACCAACAATAAACACAAAAGAAAAATACGATTTTAGGTTGATTCATTTTGCAAGTCTAAAAATATTATACCGTAGTAGTATATATTTACGATTATACACATAACAGTATTAACATTTTTTTGCTCATTTTAAATTTGATTGGATGGAGATATACATAAATTGGATAGTAAGTGCACAGAACAAGCATTGGAATGAGAATTTTGCAGCAACGTCAAGTACAACAATATAAAATTGATCTTACAGTAGTACTATTTATGTATGAATCAAAATTGGAGATAAATTATTTAATAAATTTTGACAGGATTCTTTACATAAACTACAATTATCCAACATCTTTATATTTTCGTTCAATGTGTGACGCGTAACGTTTGGTATAAAAATTGTCAAATTAGTTTACCTATTTTATAATTGCACAGTGAAAGTTATATTCATCCCACATTATACAGTACCACATGAAAATATATGTGAATAAATTATAGAGTTCCTGCATGTGTGCTCAGGACAAGTACGAAGATGGCAATTCAACTATCACAGTGAATTGAATGATTTATTCCATAGTAGCACATGAAAATATATGTTGATAAATTATGGAGTTACAGCATGTGTGCTGAGAACAAGTACAAAGATGGCAATTCTGTTATCACAGTGAATTGAATAATTAATTGCACATTACTACATGAAAATATATGTGAATAAATTATGGAGTTCCATTATGTGGTAAACATTGCCCTTTCCGTGGTTTTGCGTGTCAATTGTCACTTTTCGTTGTGTTTCCAAAAATTAGTTGCAAATCAAATAACTTAATCGTTATCTTGTCTTCAAAATTACTAGCGGAAAAGCTGCAATAGACTAAAAAGAGGAATCAGTATCGTGATTGGATATTTTAATGAAAATGGCGGCTTTGAACTTATAAACCAGTTTGCAATAGCTAACTCAGGAAAACACTCTCTAAATAGTCTGTCTCTATAATAGTCTTGCAATGGTAAGTATAGGGTGATTGTTCTGGAATCAACGGTCGGGAAACATCCATTAAATGAACGCAAAAGTGCGAGGAAGAGTTTGTATTTTCACAAGCCACTCAAGGCTATCATAAATTCATTGTAAGTCGTATAGCACAGTAGTTGATACCAGTTCAAAGGAACATTGTCAAATGCTTTTCGAGTACTACATCTACTTAAAATAAGCCATTTTACCCAATGTAGATTTTGTGAGTATGCCCTTTTTCGCACATCTCGCAAATGCATTCTTCTTCTGTAATTACTAATTACCAATCTACTTTCTCGAAAAAAGCACTGTCAGTCCGTCACCAAACCAATGTTTTCGCGCAAATGGCTGCGACTCAACAGTTTTACGTAATGTTTCGCTGCAATCGTATGCGCATTCGTACTGCTTTATTACGTCGGTGTACGTACTGTATTTAACAAACTAGGCGACATTCAGTCACGAGGGTTCAAAATTTGCATGTTTGGCAATATTGACTTTGCATGTAACGAATGTCCTATTTATTTCAAAATGGGATTACAATAATTGAAAATGGGAGAACTGTTGCAGATGTGTTGTGTTTATTTATTTTTTTTTATATTGAATTAAGAACGAAAAGAAGTTTTTCAACGACTACAATCTGGCGAATTTGGCACGCACGGGACGTTGCAAAAATAATATATAGATTGAGAGTCAGGATTGAGAAAAAATTATAAATATTTTCACGTATAAACTATGTTGCTTTGGCCTTTACAATCTTAGCCCCCTTATTTCCGACTTCTGTTTTCACAAAATTCATTTGCTCATTGTATGTATACCGCGCCACGTAATCGATCCGGAAATTGGAAGAATGTATAACAAGCGTGTGATTGCTGCGCTATTTTTGTGACATTTAAAGTAAGTCAGGTTCTTGAAAATCGGTGTTTCACTTGTGTCTTGGTTCTATCTAGTATCAGGTTATGAGTTTGCGGAAGTGAATAAGTAACGTTTGAGACAAGCACGCAGTATTGCGTTGATGTCTTATCGCGGTGGTTGTAACAGCCTGTATGTATTATTAAAACATGGCTAATGTGGTATTATATTAGCTTAGATAAACATTGTGTGTGAAGCCAACGATGATTTTTTCACCTAGTTCCAGGCACATGGGTTGCATTTCATTCATTTTTTTCTGCTACAATCGTCAGGTTACGACATCTGTGCGGTGCTGATTTTTTTTAAATAATACACGTTTAGCAGAATATTTGTAAAAAGCAGTGGTTCACCTATTTGTAGTTGAAAGTGTTGTCCACGTTTTCGTACCCCGGTCGCTAGTTGTTGCTTTCAGACAGTTTTTTTTATATATATATACAAGTGTACACACACATCCTGATGCGTAATTGTGTTATGGTAATCGACCACGCAATTATCTTTTCTTTATCTGAATAATTATACATATTTTGCTACCGCGACTTTACCGTAATGTAAATTGAATATTTGGTTTTCACTTTGCTTGTCGGCAACCGATATATTCCACTTGTTCTCATCCACGCCAAAGATGATCGGGGTCTGCCAATTTGTCATCGGGACTGAGTTGAAGTGTAGTGTGGCCCATGGTGTTTATTTTCGAACATAGTCTTAGAAAACGCCGTTTATTTTCAAATATATGCAATATGCATATATATTTATAAAATATTAAAAATTCGGGAGGCTAATATTAGCATTTCTCATTCGATTCAACTCACGGTCACGTTCAAATGTAGTGGTGCTTCTTTTAAATCTAAAACTTTTCTGTGCCGACAAGTTCGCCGACAACTACAGCAGGTGATGAATATAGTTAATACAACTATTTAATATCTGTCACAACTATTTAATATCAAGTTCCCTAAAACAACATTTCACGAGACTTATATTTCCTCATTTCTTGGGAAATTGTCAATTTCACAACGGAACAAGCAATCATTTTTATAATGGCACTATGCACAATAGTACATATATACATATGTCCTTGTTAAAAAAAATTGGGTCGAAATGTTTTGATAGACCTACGTAATTTGGTTGTATATTTGTTTCACATCGCCTTTTCTCAGAAATGATTCGTTTAAGCCTATGCGTCAAGCTAATTGTTCTATTTCGGTAACACATCGCATGCTGGTCTGTTACATGCCCGTGATAATATACAGTCTTCATAATAATATTCGGTGTATTAGCGTGTAATGTGTGTAACTTATTGATTAGACATCGTCATACGCAACGGTTACGCCACCGACTCAGCTACAAGTTATAACTTCAATTAAATGTAATCCCAGTTCGAAGTAGACTGCGATAGGTAATCCGACGAAAAGGAATGATTTACTACATTGATCAATCATGAACTACTAATGGCCGTGTACCTGTAATACCGCTGAGGATATATATATATATAATGCTTTATATTACATCCGTCTCATCACAAATTTTAAATCCAGCACAGTGAAATTAGAATTAATTGTAATGTACCTTGTACGCAAATGCGATTGTGTAAGTGATATTTTGCACGTGTTTAAACATCTTCGAAGACCATATGCGCCCCCAAAAAGAACGTATACAGAGTGATTTTCTCTATCTTTTTGAAATTAGAATTTACACTTGTTGTGTTACTAGCAGGGCTTGTACGATATATGACATATTATGGTTTCGTTCAGAATCTGGCGAAGAACGCTTACTTTGTGTGGTAATATATGTCCGATATATTTGGAAACTTAGTCATTTCCGGTTAGGCGGTTGGCCTACTTATTTCGCATATATTTTATGCCTACTGAATGTGCGATAATTATAATGGTAGTCATTGGATTGATAGTTCTCGATTTCTGACGCTCCCGTTCTAATACGAAACGCGGGAATGCTTCGTTATGTAAATGTTCGTCTGTTAAGACATTTGTCTTTAAATTGTGTCTTACTGCGTCGGAGTATTATTATATTATAGTAGAAAATAGTCGCCTGGGGAAATGAGTAATGTTCGTCAGACGATAGCACCAATATGGCTTCCTGTTACGCTCGCAATCGTCGAATTTATTCGTGAAGGCTGTCTAACGATTTCACATCTCTGGTACAGTTTGATGGTAGTTTTTTTTAGCCACTGGTTACAATGTTACAATAGATTCCCGTGCAGTCTGGAAATAGAAAGATAACCCATGCTTGTTTGTGTAATAATCCATGGATGACGATTTGTGCCGGGCTGCCGGCTTCATTGCGTTTTACGGAACATTGTCTGTCGTTTGTCTGATTAGTTTTGAATAACATATTGATGTAATTTCGAATGGATGTTTATTTTGCTCTGTATAACGTAATATTACGTCATTGTGGTCTTGCACACTTCGCTGACATGTCCGCTGTAAACAAAGATTGTTTTATATTCACGTTCCAAGATCTGAAGATTTATGACTTATGTGTTTACGACGTGACATAGAGAAACGGCCTGCTGTCGCAGCGCGATAATATCATTCAACGCAAATGTTGCATCTCCAGAAAAATTGGTGAGCCTGCGGTTAACTGGTTTACTTTATGTCATTATTTTCATTGTGAGGACTACATATGGCCTTGGTGGTTGTGTAATGATATTTCTCAAACACATTTACTTTCAGCTCTATTAGATTACTACATTCCTAGCACAGGAAGCAAGCAGCAACTAACGCGCGTTTGGGCGGTACAGTCATTGTATTGAAAAGAGTAGGCCACAGGATGTACGCCATGAGTGTGTTTGCACGTTTTTGCGTGAGCTGAATAAATGAAATAACGCATCAATCAAGAATGGGTAGGGTGTGCTGTTTTATGTAAGTTGCGATATCATCGAGTAATTCCGTAATTAGCATGTGTTATTGTGCTTAATTGGTAATTGAATATTTAAATGCAGATGGACTAATATTAATAGTCATAGAACAACGTCAACTCATTAAATGTGCATACTTTATGTGGGGTATACCGTCAACTTACTAAATGCTGAAATGTGCATACTTTATGTAGGGTCTGCATCTACAGACAGACAGAAAGCCACAATGACAGATCTTGATGATATCTAGCCTAATAGCATTATCTCGCTTTTGTTGGGATGAGATTATTCTTCTAATCTGCTTTTGACATACTTATAAATGCAGGATATTGCAGTATTGCTTGGTTATTTAACTGCAAGTAAAGCTTATATAGGGGCCTATAATTTCAGAATTTGTATACAAAAAACAACGATAGTAAAGCAAGTTTGCTATTAATATTGAAGCAGAACACTAAGACAAGTAGTAATGAATAGATGGAGATATAGTTCATCGAAATTTTTATGTGATTTTAATATTATGTTTTTGGCGCTAGCAAGCTTCCCTACATTTCATTATCTTATTAAGAGAAACTTGTTTGTATGTAGCCTACTCTGGGTACTAGATATACACTATATAGAACCCTTGAATTTTCTTGAACTCTTCTTTTGGCCTAAATTTCATTACAGCCTACTGAGACTTAGTTTATTATTCTATTCTATCTTCTATTATTCTAAGTGTGTTGTTAGTACAAACACTATTTTATCCTGGTGTCACTGAAAAAACCAGTTCAATTTCTGAATATACCTAAATTTCATTCCAATGTAATATAGTCTACTAGAGTTGAGCAGTATTCACAAAAAAAACATTTCTTACATAAACAATCTACTTATTTCACAACTACTCACGTTAAACCGAACAATTTTGGCCACTCAGCAGATAAATCTTGACTGAAAGCTAGGGGGAATTCAGGTCACCCAATACTGCAATACTAAATGCCCTGCACTTTCGCCCTAGCTGTAAGATATTCCAGGTGCATTGACAGTTGGTTTGTAAGGGTGCATAATATCTGGGACGATTTTGCTAATATGTACAAAAATAATATGTGAAATATACAAATCAAAGTTTGATACCAAGCCTTGTATTATGAAAATCATTTACATGCACACTGCCTGACTGTCCACATGTTTCGTTGATATTGTTTATTATTTTAGTATCCCAATGGTTTTCACTATTGTACGTTTTTTTGCAAATTAGTATTGTTTTCTTACTTTTACTTGGAGATCAATCTACTGGTGCAGTTTTCATCCGAATCGGATAAACTTTAATTTTTTCGTAACATGCTTACAAATTGGTGCTTAGCTTTTCAGGCCCAATGATTATTAGTTACGGTAATAAAAAGACTTTGCGTATTCATAACCTCTATTAAACCTCTTCAGAAAATAATTTAGTTGAAAAGTGAGAGAAATGGCGTCACAATAATGTCATCATATTTAGAAATTGAAATTGGAATGTAGTTAAAATGGACTACTCTGATGAAGTTTCGGATAAACAGGAAAATAAATCAAAATCTAAGCAAAAGGATTCTCCATCTTTCAAAAAACAATCTGGTTTTGCAAAACTTGCTTCTAAAGTGACTCGAAAGAGAAGCTTAAAAAAGGATAAACAAAGTAAAAAGGAAATATTGGATGATTCAGTGTTTTCATCCACAGAAGATAGTGGAAACTCAGCTTTAGACCAACCAATATCACCCGCTGACAGTGGTGTCTCTAATAGCCCGCCACCCATGAGTGGACCGACTCTTGTACCCTTGTCAAAATCAACAAGTAAATCTGAAGATAGCCTTGACAGTGGAATATATTCAAGGTACTATTATCATTTATTTATGGGATTTAATACTAATTTTCTTTAGTTTCCAAATGTATGAATATAATCTTGTATCATTGTATATTATATGCAGCAATATTTCATTTTGATAAACCAAAACTATTCACTTCAGTTGTTCGCCCAACTGACTACACAAAACTATTTAACTTAGTATCGAATAATTGCAATATGAAGGTTGAACGAGCCCTTTTTTGTAATTTATGTTGATGCCCATTATAGATTAAAATCGCATGATGCATAAGGAACACAACATTTTATATCAATCGTTGAATTCAAAAATTTAATGCTTTTATATCATGCTTATGGTCACCGCTCACTTGTCGTGATTATTTTTGAATATCCTTTCTACTAATATGTCTCATTTTCACATATTTGCTATAAAGTTATCACAGTGATTCATTTGGGAATTGGAAATATTTTAATGCCACGAATTAGATACTGTTTTAAATAAAATAAACTGAATACCGGTTTAGGCTTCAATCAGAATGTAATGCTCACACTAATTGTAGTCTTTATATTCATAATGTTAATAGGCTACATTTCAAATACTCTGCTTACTGATATCTGAGATTCTTTTAAACAGGCAAAAATCTTGTGACTCTGTGGACAGTATCGGGAGCACTGAAAGCAACGGACACACAACTGATCATACCAGACCTGTTATGTCATATACAACAGGTAGAATGGACCTCCAGAAGTATGTGCACCAAGATGACGCACAGCCTGAACATAGCATGTGTCCCAGGTTAGGGTTCAGGTTGTGCGCCATCCTGGCGCACATACTTCAGGAGCGCCGTTAGAATTAAAAAAAAAGTGGAACCTAAGAACTATTCCTATGTCTCGATTGATACCTTGATTGTTGAGGTTATGATTTATTAAAGCAGTTAACCACTGATCCATGGCAATGCCTCGCTATGTTTTTTTGTTATCCTACTAACATTTTGGTGATAAAAAATTTGTAATGATGCATGTGTAAAACTCTAAACTCTGCAATATCAAACCAGGATTTATAACACTCGCTGGGAAGATGCGATAGCAAGTTTCCCTAATTAAATCTGTTACTTGTTAAAAATATAATGTGTGATCCATTCAGTAAGAAGGGTTCTCGTTTAAACAAACATGAGCATGATTTTTACTCTTTTTTTTTCTAGCTGGAGAAAACAATTCAAAATTAGACGACACAACCAATCATCAACCCATGAGTGCTGGAAAATATGATGACTTCTGGCGAGAGTATCAGGATATACGTCAAAGTATAATTGTTCAAGATGATGATTTCGATGATAGACGGAGTGTCACACGAACCGATTCGGGAGAACAGGTAATTGTAGTTATTATAATTGTATAATAAATATTATTCGCTTTGTATAGACGTCGCCACTGCATGCAAAAATTACTCATCAAGGTAATTGGCCGAACAATAAACAGTGACTGCCTTGTGAATAATCGAACTTGGAGATGGACAAACTATAGAATTTTTTGCAGCTCCCCTGTTCATGTAGAAAGTTGCTAAAATTTCTTGCAGCTATCATTACATATAAAATTCAGATTTTTTTAGCCTCATTTATCTAGAATTAAAAACTGGCTAAGCAAATGGTATAGTAACTGTGACATCACAGTCAATTTTTCAATGTGGGCCTTTGCAAAAAAGAGTAACTGAATGTGGGCGGTCCTTGCCCACCTTTGTTCTAGCTACTGTTTATCTTTTTTTGTAAGATTGATCAAAAGTTTTGTTATGACATTTTATCCTATTCTTCTTTTGTAATTCCTTGCAAAATTACATTTCTCATTCACAGATGACGAAGATGAGGGTGACTGGTTCAGGCAAGCTGGTCTTGCAGACCTTGTTACAACTGCAGCTTTATCTCAAGGAGCACAGTCAGGACCAAATGAGGGAAATAAAGAAAATACAGCTGCAAGACTATCTACAGACAGCTTAACATCAATGACTATTTTATCCACTCTTACTAGGCCGCAACGTGAGGCGGTTTTACGAAGGATAACTTCATTTAATAGAGCACAAAAATCTAGAAGGCGTCCTAAGCCTCATATCAATGCAGTGTTTCCACAAAATTATGGCGATTCTAATACAAATAATGAAGGAGTTTCAGGAAAACCACCACTTGCTCCACCACCATCAGTGGAAGTTACCTTGTCACCAACACCAACTACAGTAAGTTTTAATGATATTGACTCTTGTGGATTGTCCAAGTGTAGAACAAATTTACTTTGTATGATCATGATAGGTGGTTGTTTACTTCCCAGTCAAATGTGTGATAACCGCTATCAATATATCGTAATTATGTTTTACATATAACTTTTGCACACATGCAGTATACTTATGTACACACTCTTTTGCCTACGTTCATGTCATTATTGATTCAGTTTGAATGAAAGACAAAATGGAGCTTATCGAAAAAAATCAAATGTTCAGAATTGGAATATTATGATGACTGCTTATATAGTTTTGTCATTTTGCAGTGTAATCATGATTTAAATCATAATATAATACATTTTACTATATGTGTTCGTCATCGTTCTGCCTCAATAATGAGTTTAGAATACTTAAAATAGGTAAGATTTATCTGAATATCCAACTATTTTAATGTTTGTAGAGTTTCACCTCAAATCTTTAGTAATAATAAAAACACCTATCTGTTTTCAGGAAAATAAGAAACATCGAAGTCAACAAGCTTTACCTTATAACATAGGGGGGATTGGTGATGGTGAACCATACCCTCGTCGTTATTCTGAGGTCACACATCGGCTCGACAGGTACAAATATGACTGACACTGATGGCCATTTTTTGAGTACTCAATAGTGTCAGCGTATTCCACGTCTTCTCTCGAAGCGGGCCATGTTGTCAAACTTGACCAAAAAGGTTACCAGAGAAAAGTAAGCACTCGATTCCATTGTTGCCACAGAGCCATCAGTTAGTGAAAAGCTAATATATATTTTTTATGTTATTTTTTAGTTTTTAAATCTGTCTGATTCAATTTTTAACTTTTTATCTTATTAGTTGTTGTCTACCATGATATCACTATATTTTTAAAATAGAGAAAGCTAGATTTACACATGAAAGCCTGTTATTAAATTTGCTGTTATATTTTTGATAAGATAGTGTTTGAAAGTGAGGGCATTGTGTGCTGGTCAGTTTTCACCTCAGGCCGCTTTTGAGATAGTACAACTTTTGGGCTCGTCTTGTTTTTGTGTATGATAGATTAGTCTCGAAAGTCGGCATTTTATATATAAATATCTTAGATATTATTCAGGTATTTGATTATTTGTATTCGTACCCAAAGATTATGTGTATTTATGTCTTTATTTCAATGAAAATAATTTTCAGCACTATAGTTTTTGATAATATTTGATAAAATTAGATTTGACATATAACGCAGTATTTGACATGCAGCTATACACCTATGATATTGATTGAATTTTTCTTCAACTTCGATTGAACTTCGATTCCATTCTAGGGTGTCATGCTTATATTGAAACATTGGTTTAGCATTGTCATATTGGTATAGTCCTGTGAATTCATAGATTTGAAATCATTGAGTTGAGTTCTGATTGGTTTATTTAGTTACTAAAAGCCACAGATAGTGACTGTAATAAATTGGTTGTTTTTCTAAACTGAAAGTTTGGTTTATATGCAGTTCTTTTAATGTCAATTCGATCATCTAGATTTTTTTGTGACTGAAACCATTGACAATTATAAAATCTATTATGCTGGCAGGTTTAGAATAAAATTTGTGTATAAAATTATTTTCAGTATTTTCGGATTAAGCATACTTGGTGTTTATGTTTGGACTTACTTCAATTTCTTGCTCTGTATCTGCGACAATTATTAAAGTTATAAACGTATCATTTGGCGTTTTGTTTATCGAAGCAATCAAATATGCATGCAATCATCTGTTTTCTCTCACTTTTCTCATTTCTTAACCCTCTATTCCCTTCTCATCTTGAAACTGCCGGTAAGATCCTAATTTGCACCAAATATGATTATTAATATATATTGTAAACTTGTGCATTCTGACTCCGCGTTTTTTTGTTCATTATGGTTCTCATCAAAATTGTTATTTGAACATCGCTTTTTGCATTTTTATTTCAGTGCATCCAAGTCACATTCATGCCAGCAATACCTTGCCACCGCCATCATCATCAAATACTCACTCTTGCTCTTTGTCTCGCTCTCAAGCTTTCTTACGTGCTCGTTCCATATCGGCTCCTAATGATTGCACCTCTCCCTCCGATAATGGCCCTTTGACCAGTTCAACTAGTGGTAGTGACACACCTGATCAAAACGAAGCTGAATTTGCTCATTTCACATTTTCTCCCGGAAGCTCCTCACCTAAGCATAAAGAATATTCACATCTCCCATCATCAGTGTCCTTTTCAGGTTCTGTGAATGCTAAACCACCGTCATTTATTTCGCCCAATAAATCGTTCTTGCATGGCGTATCACAAACTCCAAAAGTTCAATACTCGTTCGAAAATCGTGTCTTATCAAGTGAATTCACAAGCCATTTGTCTCCAAGTACAAAACAAATTGTGGTTGAGCCATTCGAGTTTTCTCCTATCACCCTAACAACGTCAACGACCGCTACAAGAAAGACTAAAGTCATACGCAGTACACCTACAAGCCCTAATGTACAGGCATTACAAAATGAACTGCATCGTATCAATTTGACAACCAGTGTATTTTCAAAGTCTCCATCCCCTATTTCATCAATTTTACCGTCTAGTTCTCCTCAGCTCACAGTTGATTGTGGGGATACAGACAAGATTTCCTTGCCGAAAGAAGTTTTCGACTTGAAAAATACTGGTTCCAACCCGACTATAGTAGCATCGTCAAGCGATGAAAATCAGTCCACGGATAGTAGTTCAGTTACCGATTTACACGATGAATCTCAACAATCGGATGATTCCTTCATATCTTTCACATCCGCACTTAATTTGTCTTCAAGTGATGTTTTACAATTTCCTAACACTCCATGGCACACATTACCTTCTAGTCACAAACCGCATCGAAATTCATCGTTTCGGTCTCGTAGAACGAAATCAACTACCTTGTCTCCTCGACGTAAATCTTTGAAATATTTCCAAATGTCTCTCCCAAAAGTTTCCACTCTGTCAGTCTCGAGTTTAACAACATCTCCTACTCACCATGGTTCGTACAAACTTAGACGTCATTCTCCGAAACTGCGTCGACTGAAACGTGCATCTAGCCTTTATGGCGAACCTGCTTCATTCAAGGGAACATTGGACTCATCTTCCAAGCGTAAATCATCAAGTCTGTCGCTTGTTGTTTTATAATATAGTAAAAACTTCTGTTGATTGCTTGATTTGCATGTTTCTCCTGGACCTTCTTTCATTTTCTTTTATTTTTTCCTTTCTCTTTTCAGCTTTTTTATTTTATGTTGAGTATTTTAAATTTTTTTTATTAACTTTAATGGTAGTGACAACTGACAACTGTGACATGGCTTACTCATCCAAGGTTTTTTTACTGAGTGCACATGCTAAATATGGCTTTCAAATTGTTTACAAGAATAAAACCTACTATAATAACTTTGACATCTGTTTTGCAGAGTTGAAATAAGTTTGGTTTTTGGGGTTTTAAATGTATGCATTATACCATTTCCAAACATAAACGCTATATAGCTCATAGACGCTTGAACTTTATATTTATTTTATTTTTATTTTTATCAGTTTCGTTCATTTGCAATTGTTATTGTTTTTACTTTTTTTCATTTCATGCAATCATCTTAGTTTATTTATTTGTTTTTAAAAAAGAATGGATCTTATATTAAAGTGATAGAATGTGATTAAGTAAACATTTGGCAGATTTTTCAACATTATTTCCAGGCTATTTTAGGAGGAATATTTAAGCTCGTATAAATAACATGTATATTAAATTGGCCAGCGGTCGAAAACGTTAGCCCAGTGAACATATTTTCTCTATATCATTTAGCAAAATAATAAACCCAAAAGCATTGAACATCATAATTGAGAAAGGTCTGTTTTATGTAATGTTTTGTGGAACGAAAAATTCCATTCCAAATCTGTATCGAAAATATATAATATACATTTCAGTATATCTAAAATGCAAAATGCTATTGATCTGAATACTTTTAGCGTGTAAAATGCGTCATTGTTGAAAATGAATCTATTTTTATGCGATTTAGACATTGACCTTTTTATTTTTTGTTGAATGATTTACTGTTTAGTTTGCTTGGTTATTAAATCTAGAGCGAAGTATAGTTTAATAAATGTTTCAAATTCATAGAGATGTTATATTTAAGCACTATTTTTAATGGGCGTTCAGTTAACCACCCTTCGAAAAAAGCGAATTGTAATGTTATCTTTTTCTTTTCAAATTGTAGGCTGCCTAAAATATTCTAGCTGTTTCGTTGTCGATATCATTAAATAATTAATGAAGTATCCAGACCTAAATATTCACAAAAATCTGGTGTCTGCCCATTTAATGTATTTTCTCTTCAAAATGATTTTCCAGTCACAGAAAACTTGATTTATCGTTTTCTATTAATTTTACAGGTGGAATTGAAACATTAAGCATACAAACACGTTCAACAGAAGACACAAGTTGGCGAGATAATTTCACCGAAGACAATAATAACAAGGTATAATTTATGTTCTATTTTAACATTCGTGATAAGAACCCAATATTTAATTATAAATAGGTATCTAGGTGTCGTAGTACTAGGGATGGACAAAGCCATATAAGAAAAATCATTTTGACATCTTGTAAAATAATATTTCAAATATATGGAAAATTAAATATATACTTAATAATTGGGTGATATATAAATCATAGCATGTTCAAGGTTTCTTTTCTTCTTGCACTTCAATTACTCAAATTGATATTTTTTTAAATGAAACTATTCCTTTAATATCAAACAATTATTTATAAAATCAATTTGTATATTCGGTTTGTTCGGACATCCTTTGTAACGTATATTAATAGTACATCAGTAACACATGCTCGTCATACAACAAAAAATTAGAAAAACATAAGATTATGTGTGATTAAACATGATTTGTAATAAATATTTCAAATTACTTATTCAAAGTAATTGACCTATTTTATTGTAAAATAAAAACTTTGATGGTTTGATAATCCAGGTAGATTTCTAAAATACCAATCCATTTAGATATAGACAGCTTTATTTCAACTAAGTAATCTATTATGAATGAGATAGTACGCTGTAAACAGTTATTATGTTTTTAAATCCTGTTTACAGTGTATTTTTTGAATGCTGATTCAACAATTTTATACTAAATAGGCTATTACTTTATGGTAGTCAAGTTGCCAATATGGTTGAATTTAATATGGTTAATAGAAGGATTGACATTTCACAATGTCTTTCAATTTCATAAAAGCAAATTCATAATTTTAGGACTATATCAAATACTAAGGGTATATTTCAGAACTGAGAGTGCATATGATTTATAAATTTAGGAAGCAGTTTTGATTGACCACAATTATGTTACATGAGATTTTAAAAGCGATATATAATGTTATTCGAAATGTAGATAATTTTGGGTTTTCAACTGTTTGTTACAAATATTGTTTAATAAACTTCAGTAATAATCAATATTGTTTGAAACTCTCTCTTCTTGTCAAGGAATTTCGTTCAATACATTTATTTGAACATATGATTTACTGCGAATAGCTCAATATTTAACGAGAAACCATGTTTAATTTGGGTAAATATTATCTCCTAACAATGTTTGCTTTCAAATACTACTGAGTATACTTTGCAGAAGTATTTGTCTCTTTAGCAAACAGTAAATATGCTGCCTTTTGTAAAGTAACTACATAAATACTTTTTTTTTACAAAAGTTGCGATCTCATACTTGAGCTTTTTACGAATTGCTACTGTAACTTTTTTTCCACGTTTACCTAGAATCATTTTTGTAATAACAATTCTAAATTTTATAATGTGTTACCCTATTCAATAATGAAAAATTACAGTTTTATCATTTTACATTATTGTATAAAAATGCCTTTATTCTTTTATACATCCCATATTTGGCTTTTGCATTGAAATTCTAGTAGATGTACAATTACCATAGATGTAGATACCACCAATTTTAAATAGTGCTTTACCAGCATTTTTGTTTTGTTCTATGGTAGCTGCATTGTCCATTTGTCTAGTCATCAAAGAATTAGATTCATAATGAATTGGTCATAAAGTGTGTCAATAGGCGATTTTCTATGCCTGTTAAAGTACATTGTTTCTTAGCAAATACAGGATATTCAAAATATTTGTGCCACCGACTTGGCTCAAATTTCCCTTCTTGTTAATCCTACTGGATAATTTTTACTTGTTTTCATCTGTTGTGGGATCATCTCCTCATTACCATCAGTTATTATGAGAAATACCACTGGGTCATTCATCTCAAACTCAACTATGTATTTTGATTACTAAGTAACATTAACTTTTCACTTTTTTAATTTCCTCCCGCTCATTAATGTTATGTCACTATCACTGAAAGACATTTCTTACATTCTTATTGGGGGTAAGATTTTTATTTTGGTGCAGAGGAAAGTCAATAAGATGGCCTAATTATTTGGCAAACCGCGGCTTTTTGTCTGGTTACAAGTCCAGTCCATGGTGGATATGGGGATAGTTAACCTGTTATTTTGTCATATACTCGATTGTGGAGGAAGCCGAAACTAACCAGCTGTTTTGTGAACCTTCCTATGATAGCAAGGAGTCCTTGCACACATAATTATCCCCAAAAAAATTTGAATCTGAGTACTTGTGCAGGATAATCAGAGGTTCAACGGCAAGCATACTCCTGATGCTTAGCATGATACCCAAAACCGCCAGGCAGTTCTGTAGTAGACAGGGCAACTAAGCAGTCTTGTAAAGTGTTTGACTTTAGTAAAAAGATTAAAAAAATGTTTAAACTAATTTTGAACCAATTCTTTGTTTCAGAGCAAGCAACCTATGAGCTACAGTGAAACAGCAGATCAAGAAAACTTGCCAAATTTTTCATTAGTTAAAGACAGATTGGGTATAACAAGAATAAGGTATATTTGTACTGGATTTTGACTTGGTTGAATTTTGGAGCATAGGGCGCTAAAAGCGTCACCTCTAATCAGTAAATATTATATATACATTATAGAGTATCTCCACCACCTTCTTAATCCTGTATCATTTTATTATTAGCTAATTGGCCTTCATTTTGAGACTTTAACTTTATATAATCAAGCGTAATTAAGGATTATGATTGTGAGTGGAAGGGCCATCATGTACCGCAGGTTTAACATGATTTGGGTGCCATAGAGTTAAAAACAACTTGGTTATGCCAAAACTGCTAAACATTGTTCGACTTTTTCTTAGCCTATTTGTAACGTCTTCTGATTTTTATTCTAGTGATCTTTCTGCAAAAGATATTGGAAAAGTACAAAGTCTGGCACTCATAGAATTAACAGCACTTTTCGATCTTCATAATATTGAACTTAAAAGGAGGAAATTTGGAAAACCAAAGATAAAAGGTATGATTGCCGGCCATGTAGTCGTATCTCGTATAAACGAACAACTCCACTGGGTTCTGTCTTGCTTACTTCTGAAATTCACTATCTAGCTCAGGTGTGTGCAAACCGCGGACAAATGCGGCCCATGGACAAGTGCCAATTTTGAATGCTGTGCGGCCCACGAAACGAGTTTTTAATTCAGCACATGCAAGTAATTCCAATTCTTTTGCTTGCAAAGCCTATACCTGAGCGTGTGCAAAGCGAACAACGCATGTCATAAGATCAACGACCAAATTTTTGTGCCTGCAACTACTAGAAAGCCTATGATAAATAAAGGTGTGGCCCGCGGTTTCACCCAGTATTTGTATCTGGCCCTCCTGTATTATAGGTTGCACATCCCTGATCATAGCTAAATATTGTTGTTTAATGAGATGTTAAAAATCGAATAATCTATTATTCTGAATACATTGTAAAATACTATTTTCAAATATCGAATATATTTTAAATTTGTCTTGTTCAATAGAAAACTCCTAAAGAATATCCTTAGTTAGTTACCAAGTTGGCTTTGACTTTGTAGCAAGATTAAAATAAAGTATTGATCAACTATTCATATCTTGTTGTGATAAGGAGAACAGGATGTCCAAAATGCTTGAAGACAAACAGCTGATTGAGCATGGGTCATAGATAAAGCACGGCTTTAAGTGGGATTGATTTTGAGATCAAGCATGAATGAGCATAAATTAATATTCATTATGTTTTGTAGTTTTGACTATTAACAGCAGTGCAAATGATGAAGGGATAGTCTATTTTTGAAAAAATACATATTTTGGAATTGGAATACCCAATATAGCTCTATTTGATGGATTAATAAAACCACTTCGCGTTATTCTATGTATGGAATTTTAAATAAACGCAGATGACATTTGTGAATATTGACATTTTCAAACCGCATGTTTTTGATTGAGATTCCTGCATTCTTATTATTGCGTATTAAATTTATAATTTTATTCCAGTTAGTAATCTTTTATTTCTGTTCTATTGTATACAGAAACTGGTCTGTTTGGTATTCCACTTACAACGTTACTTGAATCGGATCAGAAAAGGCAATCTAATCCTCAATTAAGGATTCCTTTAGTCTTAAGAGAAACCATTACTTTCTTGGAAAATAACGGCTTGCAAGATGAAGGCATTTTACGTGTTCCTGGTTCAGCAGTCAGAATAAAAAATTTAAAACAGGTAAGGGTATAATTAAAATTTTTGACCAGTTTTGAAATATTCAAAATGGATTGTTAATTAGTTTTCAATGAAAATGACTCAGTTTTTAGCATATTTATGCTAGCCTTGGCCTACTCATTTTCAGTTTTTTTTTTTTTACGTATTGTCCACAATTTTTTTTTGGGGGGGGGGGTGTCAAGGAATGCTCCTACTTATTAAAGTTTCCCATTTTATAAACATATTTCAGTGTTTTTGAAATAATGGCCTTCATAGTTTTCAAGTTTGGCAATCCTACTCAATCATTTTCAGAATTTTTTTTGGGGGATTGTCTACATATATTCAAGGAATGCTCTTAATTATTAAAGTTTTCCATTTTCTAAACATATTTCAGTGTTTTTGAAATAATGGCGTTCATAGTTTTTAAGTTTTGTAATTCTTTATAGAGTGAAATTAGAATTTGTGGCAAATTTTTACGTTGAAAATTGTAGCAAATCATAATATTAAAGAGCAATTTAGTGCCATTCAAAATTGGAATTACCTGTATATAGAGTTTTAATATGCAGCCTTCAACACAGACATTTCATGTTTTATTGGTTTAGTGGTTCCTAGGCGTTTAGACTAACTAGAAATATTTTTTATGTTGGTCAGTTGCGTAGTGAATAAAATTTCTTTTTTTATTCTATATTACCTAATTATTCCTATTTATAATAAATTTGATGAATTCTTTACAGAAAAAAAAAAATATATAAATATATATATCCAGTAATCAATTGTCCCGCAATGTATAAATCTTATTCACTATGCACTAGGTAATGAACCCTTATAATGAAAACAGTTCTTAGCAGTGTTAACTCTAAGCAAAATATGAGTGCGAAAGTGCTTCGCAGTCCAAAAAAAAAGTGCGAAAGTGCTTTTGCCGATTTTAACAAGTTAGGTGCCCTAGCCTTTCATATAACCCATTTAAAACGGCATAGATACTCGAAAAAGCGCTCCTCCGGTTAATATTATGAATTGAAGAGAAGCCTTTTCGTTAACGGAATCCCTTTAAGCGAATTCATGTTTAATTAAAACAAGCGAATTCATCGGCAACGAAATGACATCTGCTAACACCTGCCACAGACAAAACTTTCATGCAATGTATAACGGTGTCAGTTGCTTACTCGCGTAAACAGCAAAGACTTTCACATTTGTTACTCCTTCCATCTAACAGACACGAGGCCGGCTGGAAACCATATTAATTACAGGGTGGATCGTTTGTACAAATCCGGTGCAAAATAATCCCCCCCCCCCCCCCCAATATAAATAGCAATCAACTAATTAGGGTTAGGTGCGCTAGAAATTCAACTTTTCGATTCATCCCTAAACCTAATCTGATAATTATTAATTTGTGATTTTGAACCGCTTTGAAAGTCGCCACCCGCTGTTTTAAAAGATAGGTTAACCTACGTTCCCTCCGAAATATTATGCAGGATACTCCTCTGTTTTAGGAGATAGGTTGACCTACTTTCCTTTCAAACTTTTTTCTCTGAAATATTACACAAGATCACTTTGAAAATCCTCCTGTTTCGTGAGCTAGCGTGACCTAATTTCTCATTTACATTTATATTATACTATTTCAGAGCTTACCCAAAGACAAGTAATTTTTAAATGTCCACATGCCTTGGTTTGCGTGCGAGTTAGTTTAAATCGGGCAGAAAACATCATATATTGGCAAAATGTTTAGTAATGTCATGTACTTTCAGCATTCATAAATAGCACTCTTTGTAATGCTGCTGACCTAGTATCAAATATTCGCATCACAACGCCACTTGCGAGGTTTCCATATATTTCAATAACACTAATAGGAAGGATGACATCAAAGAGTTTTCTTTTGCGAAGGTACACTAAATATAACGAGGGTGATTCTTGAGAAAAACATGAATTAAAAAAATAAACGAATGATATGATAATGGATCCCAAATAATTTTGAGAGTGTCTTGAAATACCAATCCATTTGATAAATAATTTTTATTCGACCACATGAACGCTGATATCCTGAAAATTAATGTTGAAAGAGAATTACGCATTCTCAGATATCGGACATCCAGTCGCGATATTCAATCGTTCATATGCACAAATCTCACATTAATAGTAATTGCTACCCAAGTTTGTAAAGTTTAGAAACCAACAAACAGAAAATAACTAACCTAAAACACAATTAAAATTCAGTCGGCAATAAATTCGTCGCCAAGACGATGCCATACAAAACAAAAAAGATTTGGTCGCGAGAGTTACGTGAGATGACTGCCGTCGTTTTTTAAGCAGAATGTAAAAAAATTTATAATTAATAAACGGGAGTTACGACGCCCTTTACACATCGTGTGTATTAAACTTCCCTGGTAGGTACTTTGGTAAGTACTATTATTAGTGTACCTACACACCTGTTGGAGTATTTCGGACAATTTCGAATTTAAAATAAATGAAAACCAGACATATAATGAAGACGCAAAAGTAAAATGAACATTTATTGAAAAAGTTATTATTTAAGAAAGACAACATGACCGTACAATTCCGCCAAAACCTCGATGTTCGCAAGTGAGGTGATAAATAAATACTTCCCTGTATTCGATCAATTAACTTTAGCGTATCGTTGTTCTGCCAACAAACAGCCGGGTGCAAAATATTTCCGTCCTGTGATATGCTCAAATATTCTCGATATTAATATCATACCCTCGCGTATGTACTTTCTATTAGCTCTTTAGTGATCCCTTCCATCCTTGGCCAAGTCATGTTTCGAATATGTGAACATTTTATTCGACCATACATGGCCGGCGGGATGTTAAAATTGTAAACAAGAGAGAGGTAAAATCAATCGCGAATTTCGTTATAACGGCTCGTTTACGAATTGTTGCGCCTGTTATCGTCGAAAATGCTTACATTTGCTGTATTTTGAGGCATTTAAGCAGTAATAATTAGGGCATGACATCATCAAAATCGTCAAGTGAGATCTTGAAATTGCGAATTCCGTAAATAAAATTGCGAATTATTCGGTAACGAATTCAGCTTTAATGACCGTCGGGGTATTGTTTTGTTGAAAATTATTATTAATTTGAGAGCGCCAAAAACATACAGTCCATACCGATGCGACTGCAATTTATATGGTCGCAATTGGTGTGGCGCGTTTATTAATAGTGTAAAATAAATTTAACGAATATCAATTATAACCAAGCCTGTCAGCGTGTTTATTTTCTGTGGGCAGGAATTGTAAAATACCATCTTGAGACAAATTCACTTCTATTATAAAATCTTAATTTTCAGTTATTATCGTTATACAAATAACGTGTGGCAACTTTTTAATTTATCGTCGATCAAAAAACCGCCCCACACTCGTCCAAACGTGTGTCGAGCTTAAACGACAGGAACAGATTCATCGACGACCTTAATTAGGGATTGGGAATGCAAAATAAATGTAACAAAACGCATGTTTTGTGATATAACTTTGTATTTTCGGAAACGGGTTGCCGTGAAAGGTAAAATTTGATCTAAATTAATTGCAAAAATGTTTTATTTTAAATGTAACAAAACACATTTTGCGATATAACCTTGTATTTTCGAAAACGGGTTTCCTGAAAAGTAAAATATGATCTAAATTAATCGCAAAAATGTTTTATTTTAAATGTAACAAAACACATTTTTCGAGATACAACTGTATTTTCAGATACCGGGTGTCATGGAGAGTAAAATGTGATCTGAATTCACCGTAAATAATGTTTCATTCCAAATGTATCATAACGCATTTTTTTGCGATATAACTTTGTATTTTCGAAAACGGGGCGTCACGAAAATTATTAATTTAATGTTTTATCTATCGTCTAACTAATGTCTGGAACACATAATTTTCGGGGAGAACTCTAGCTCGCGAAACGTCATTTAATTTAAAATAGAGAATGTTTCACGCATTTCAAAACGAAAAATCACCAGTAAGTGGACAGGGATTCAACCCTCCGGATTCAGTATTCTATATCCCCGTGTCAGAACTTTCTGAAGAATGGAACAAAGAACCCGTCAAACCGCCGCGGAAGAAGGGGAGTATTTTTGCACTAATAATTAGGGCGTGACAACATCAAAATCGTCAAGAAACTGGTGAATTTGCAAATTCCATAAATAAAATTGTGAATTGCTCGGTAACATTTTAGCTATAATTATCGGGAATTAGTTACAATTAGCGCCTGACGTCTATTAGGCACTCGAGCACTCGAAAAAAAAAGCACTCGAGCCCAATCTTTTTAGCATTAAGTCGCATACGTAAAATATCCTGTAAAAGAAGTGCTGTTCATTAACGTCATCTCGTCTTATCACCACGCAGAAATGCCTTTATAGCCGAATTATTCAATCACTATTTCAAATCAACATTCAGGATTGGCACAATTTCAGATTTGCGAAGTTTATCACCATAGAAATACATGAGAAAGTTAATTATCGTCTTAATAAATATCTGCATCACGGTATGGACAATAATATTACCATTCGCATAAAATTGGGACGGTAAATTTACAAATCTTGATAGGTAATATTAAAGCCAGCGCAAATGTTAATTTGAGTCCTCAATGTCTTCAACAGCTGTTGCCGATGTGAACGAACGGGGAAACCCGAAATATAAAACTTCGATGTCCGCCGACCCACAAGAATTCATATTTGTAAAAAAGAGAGGGCGGGAATATAGATTACCCAAAACCTGGATATCGCCGCCAAACGATCGGTGACAAGAACAATTAGCGATTACAACGGAATTAACCAGTAAAAAGGCTTTGTTGCCGATTTTTTAATGTTTCCACCACGTTTATTCGGTACTCCTTAAAAATATTCGATTTAAAAAATATTGAATTTTACCCACCCCTCCTCTCATATCAATGACGTCCTTTCAACATTGTGATTACAATAAAATGGCACTTAATGGTATTTTGTGAATTTGTTGATTTTGCAAATCTGTGACATGCTGCTAAAAGTTTCGTCTGATTTAAAATAGTGCAGTTTGGTCACAATTCATCCAAAGTGACTATAACAGGTTACTAACACTTTTTATAGTCATTTTGAATTCATCGATATCATTGATAGTCACATGACCACTCTCGTTCAAAGAAACGCCCCGGGAGCGTTTTTTGCGGGAGAAGCGGAATCCCTGTGCTTGTATAATAATCATATTATAAACAAGAATTTTGCCGTTAATGCAAAAGCTTTATCTCCTATGTCTGCATCTCATAGGTTAGAATTCCGGTAAATATCGTTATGATATGCAGAATTGAGTTACAAAAGTACCAGTATGTTACTTATTTGTCAACTTAATACTCGAAAATATTTGTTAACTTTGAATTTTTATTCCATTCAAAATCGGAAAAAAGTGCTATTTCTCTTCAAAATCGGAAAAAAGTGCTATTTCGCAGTCCCTAAAAATAGTTGCGAAAGTGCTTCGCAATTTTCGCAAAAAAGTGCGCTAATAGTGAACACTGGTTCTTAGTGCTTAAAGTGCAAATTGGTCATTGAACAAGCATAAATCTAACCTTGTAATAGCATTCATAACAATTAACCTTAATAACAACAACAACATATTATAATGAATAGCCGTTGACCCTAGTTTCATATGTGTATGTACTATGTATTATTTTCGCTGACAATCAGTTCATGTCATTTCATGAATCTTGTTGTAACAACACATTTACCATTGTAACCTATATGATGTCACTCGCAATAAATATGAGTCATGGAACCGCCAACCTATCAGAGTTTCCTGATGACTCTAATGTCTTCCTATATTTTTTTTTATAACTGTAATGGTTCGGTCGTTATTAGCATAGTAAAGAAATTGTGAATTACAATATCTTAAATGTAAGCAATTATGTCTGAATAACTCAAATATCAAAGACATACACCATGTAATGGTTATTTTTGTTAGTTATAGTAGTACATCATATGTGTCTGACTGCAATGTATTTCGTCTGGGTACTATTCCAGATTGTGTATGAGGCAATACATGACTAGTAATATTTTATATTCTACCAGCTAACCACATATGGTCCAAAATATTAGATTTCTATTGGCATGTTACTACTGGAATTCCAAATACATTTTAGTTATTTTCAATTAAACTGGTTGCTTTTCATTGTAAATTTTTCATATTTTGTCGCGTACCTATTTTTCTTTTTCATCAGTTTATTTTATTATTTATTTGAGATCAAATTTAAATGTATTCAATGCATCACACCCACAAATAAATTTGAAAAATTTAGGGGTTTTGGCCACAATTACATACTATAAAACCATTTATTGTGTTGTGAACATTTTATGAGAAATTTTATTAATAACGAAATAAACCTAGATCCGCACTATTAAAAGTTTATTAAATTTTATTGTTACAAGTTTGCATTCTCTTTGCATATGCATACATACCCCAATTTTTTATTATGAAATTTCAATTATATATTGAATTTATCAATCACCCTCTAACCTGCTGAAGTTGACTAAACCCGCAGATGCACTTGCATGAAAAAAAAATGCTGCTTTGAATAAAACTCAATATTGTGATTGTTTATGTGTACTCTCTGTCTTTCAAAGTTTGTCAACATGTAGGCCCAAAGAATAAAGGCAAAAGTTTCTCTTTCTCATCTTTGCCTGTTTTTCTTTTAAAATACTTGAAAAACACTCATGTTTGTTAAACTCAGTTCAGCAGATAAATTAACTGCAGCTTGCGAAATTGCAGCAAGTGTGTCTATTTCTGTTGTTACGTAGTTACGTAACAATAAAGGCAGACACTACGCAAATAAAAGCAAACGACATAGAAAGGTGAAATGAATTTATTGTTTCATATACACAGCATATAAAATAAGAAACAACAAAACATTTATAATAAATACAATATGTAAAATATTCAATCATATATTACCGTAGTTATGTTCCACACAATTCTGTTGATTTTTAGGGCGCACTTAGCAAATCGACGCGGTGCCCCACTTGGGAATCGTTGCTCTAGTCCATTTTTCCAAGTCTCTACTTCGGAGATTCTAATCAATATATTTCATTGAATTGCAGGAATTGGAAAGTAAATTCAGCCAAACATCACCGACAGTTCTTCTTGATTCAAAAGCAGGATGGAATGAAGCTCGTACAAATGATGTTGCAGCGTTATTAAAACAATTTCTCAGGGAACTCCCGAACCCACTCCTAACGCAAGAATATATTGATGCTTTCCAGTCATGCGATTGTAAGGAATTTAACTTTTTTTTGCTTACTTATGATTGAAATTTGAGGTTTACTCTTTAGTTTTTTGAAAGTATTGGATCATGCTAAGCATTAGTAATATGCTTGCCATCATGCCTCTGATTGTCCCGAACCGGTTCGCAAGTCTAACTCTGTGGGATATGAGCGAGAGGATTGTTGCACTCCATACACGACGTACAAATACACCAACAAATTCATGCATCTGAAACAAATAGTTGGGTAACTATTACCATATCTGACATGGACTGGTAATTCCATAAGAGTCTGTGGTTCGCCATATGATTAAGCTGGTTTACAGGCTTTCCTCTTCCCTAGAAAGAACATTATACTTCATCAGTCATGGCTCATATATGGCAAGTGGTAATAAAACACATTCTTTTATGTGGTTTTGTTGGTCATACAATATTTGAAAACCTTAATGACCATCATTAGGTAATAGAAAATTGCACATAGAAAGTAGTTGAATACTCATTAACATATGAGGTATCTTTATGACCCCATATGACATGAAATTGGTATTATTTTTCAACTATAACAATATAGATGATATTAATCATATTCGAATACAAGGTTGCCTTGGTCTTTAGAACTGCAATGAGAAATGTTCTTTGGCACCGTAATTCATTTCATCACTCCTATTTGAAGAATGAAATTGATAAGACGTATTTGTTTGTCAAATTAAACAAACTGAATGATTCTATTTTGTTTATTATCGACAGCTAACTGAAAATTTTGCCCTCTATGTGTTCAATGTAGACGTCAAGTGAGTCATCATATAAGTGACTCAATTTACCACAATTTCGTCAATGTCAAAATAACCAGCAAGTTTATGAATTGGGGGTAATTAGGGTTTATGACCAATGGTTCCCAAGGGTAGGCAACGAAGGCAACAAAAGAAAGTAGCTTCCTGCAATTGAGTGACTGCTTGTACAGAGCCATGTTCGGGGCAAAGCCGTAAAAATACGCCATGTAAAAAGGATGCTTTTATCTGCCAGGGTTTAGAACTTGTCGTAAAATGATCAAACCCTGTTAAATTTAACATTTTGAGAAAGGTGTAAGGTCGGATATATCGAAAACTATGCTGCATTATGATTGTTTGTTTGCACAAAAACAAGCTAACGTGGCGCATTGTTTGATTAAAGGAACGCGTGTTACAAAATTCTACCTTGTCATAATTCCATGTTAATAAGTCAAATTTCTCACCAATCCATTGTCGTTTGTATTTTGGAAAGTAACAATTCAATTCCATAGAGAAATTATAAAAAGACAACCTGTTAACTTTGTCAAGTAAATTCAACCTAATTTATGACGTACTAACCACTCATGGATATAATATTTAATTTCAGTGATTCCTGATCGTAAACAACAACTTCAAGCTCTGAATCTACTGATTATTTTATTAAATGACGTCCATCGAGATTCTCTCAAGTTATTACTCAAATTCTTAAGTCGTGTCGTAGCGAAAGAAGAAGTGAATAAAATGACTCTGAACAACGTCGCAATGATTATGGCTCCTAATTTGTTTATGGCAAAGAAACAAAGCAAGGTAGGATAGAGAGATTGTACTACAAAATGTCTTTCAATTATCATTTATAAATTAAAATATACATGATATCCAAAATGATACGTTGTCATGAAATCACATTTTGATTTCAATTTTGTTATAAAGTCAATTCTCGATACATCTTCACCAGTTTTTTTTAAATTTTAATCAGTGTTTATGTAACTCTTTTACTCATTTGATACATCTTTATATGCCTATCATTTGTTGCACAAAGCACATCAAAGTTGTCTCATCCAATTTAATATGGGACTTTTTGAGCATAATTTTTCAGTTTAAAAGAAATTTTTTTTTTTTCAATAAAATGTATTTCACACTAATATGAAATAGATCATTTTCACTTCATTGAGTATTTCCCTAAAAATGATATTTTATTTCTATTATTACACACACAGTTAATGAATTACTTTTTCTACATATTTTATCTACCTACTGCTGATCTCGATCCTATAAATAGTACTCTGCCAACAATATGTGACGAAACAATTAAATATTTATATTCTCTTATCGGTATTATTATTATCCAAATATGACATTGAAATATGAGTTATCTGTAGGAATTCATATTAAATTCAATTGAATTCTAGTTTATTGCTTTTCACAAAGGTGAATAGCAATTATAGACACTGGTATGTGGAGTGCCATTCAAATATTTTTACCATGCACAGCCGATTCTGGCCGCCCAATGCATACAGTGAGAGATCAAGACTTATAGTAATGATTAACACAAACTCTCCCCACTAATTTTATTCAACAAGCTGCATTTATAGCTCTTTTCAATGCATTTACACCTGGCATGAGCAAACTACGGCCCGCGGGTCAAAACCGGCTCGTTGGGTAATTCAATCTGGCTTGCCCGATGCTGCCACAAACAATGTGAAACCAAATTTTGATGTTACTTCTAAATAATAGATCAAGGAATTTGTTGAGATTGCGATTAAATTTAGTGTTAGCACAAGGCTTATTGTTTTCCACTTTTGCTTTTGTGTACAGTCATTGAAGATTGCATCAGCTGCGCTTATAGGCATCACTGGGACATTGTATTGGTTTGGTGTTTAAACTGTCAGTTGTTAGTGTGTGAATTGAAGACTTCAATTCGGGGGCCAAGTGATAGGACACAACTTCAGTAACGCCCTGTAACTCGAAGTCGTAGTGGGAAATCATATATCTTGAGCATACCGATCCCACATCTGATAAAATAACTTGGTTCAATAAATTTTCAATATTTTTTACATTTTAGTTCTGTATAAATTCTTGATTTGCTTTAATCAAGGCATGAATTTTGAAATGAATAACATTATTTTTTATAATCATTTTAACATTATTATGTATGATTCATATTTAGAGGGGAGAAACACCAAGTGCACTTGCGGCAAGTCAAGATGTGAAACATGCAGCCGGTACATCGAATATTGTCCGAATGTTGATAAAATATCATAAGTTGTTATGGACTGTTCCTACATTTATGTTAACTCAGGTTAGTTTTATGTAAGTTAGCTATGATAAAATATGGATTTTTATTTATTACGGAAAGTCGATAAGACGGCTTAATCATTATGGCAAACCTCGGTTACTCGTCCGGTGAACTTACAAAATAAAAGCACTAATACTCAAAAATACTCTCCCCATCCAGTTCAAATAATTTGAAATAATATTTTCACAGGTACGGAATATGAATCAAGCAGAACAAAGCTCTAAAAAGCATGGACATGGCCAATCAAAAGATAAGGTAGAACAGTTTTTCATCATTTTTACTCTTAATGTTGATATGTTCAGCCCATTCTGTGCAGTATAGAATAATTGAAATTAATTTAATTTTTCAGCTGAAGATAAAGTTTCCTGGAATAACAAAATCAAAAGATCCAGCTGCAAAGTTGGCAAAATCTCCACTAACACAAGAACAACAGTTTGAGGTAAATTTATATTTTAGTTACGGGTAATAGTTGAATTTGTTGAATATAGACACCATTGATCTGGGATAGATGGAAATAATGAAAATGCACAGGACAATAATTCAGAAAAGTTTTATTCTCCAAATTTTAGTCTGAAACATGAGAAATATGAGTACTTTATAGGCAGTCTCGCCTTGTGGAAAAGAATATATGTCAAACATACCCAATAAGTTATTCTCTAATTAAGCAAGTATTGAATCTTGTGTATATTTCGCACCATTTACACTGTACTGTCTATGTTTGTTTTTGAATAAATGTTTCTTTGCATCCAAATCAGGGGTGTGCAACCTGGGGCCCGCAAGGAAAAATTGTGCGACCCGAGAGGAAGTGCCAAATATGCATGGTGTGCGGCCTGCGAAACGAATTTTTACTTCAGTTCAATCTGGAATGTGCGAGTAATCCCAATCTCTTCATGTTGTAATGTCAATATGGGACTCTTATTTATGCGTATGACGTTACAATGCCCGAAGCTAGCTTGTGCGAAGTAAACAACGCATATCATAAGATCAATAACCAGAATTTCGCGGTTTCACCCAGTTACTTGTACCTTCTGTATTAAAGGTTGCACACCCCGAATCTAAATGATTGTGCTTTGTGTGTGACTTGTTTGGGAAAATTTTTTTTTTTAATAAAAGAATCTCAATACATGTGTAAACAGTTCAAGTTGTCTATTTACATAATATTCAATGATTTTTACAATTTATGTTGTTTTATTAGTATGAAGTTCCTAAAGGTGTCATTCGTGTCAAAGTAGAAAATCACAGTATGACTTCAATGGCAGTCCAACTTGACACAAAATCATCAGCTGGGGACGTGATCGGCAAATTTCAAAAGCAATGTGAAAGAAGGAAACAAATGCAACCTGATAGCGAGTAAGTTAAAGACTAAAACAAATAGGTTATTCAAATTTATATATTGGGTACTGTGCGTGCTATGGCCCAGGAATTAAAGCGTTAGCGTCAGATTACACATTTTTCTGGTTAAGATCCCATATTCATGCTTTTTCCAAGGTGTAAAAATTAGGTTAGCAATACCAAACTGGAAAGAAACCAGTCATTTTAAAAATGGTATCTTTCACATAGCTTTGTATATCAGTGGCTGCTTATACTGGGCCTTAATTTTAAGAATAATGGAAAATAGTTACGTTGAAAGAATCATCATTTTGAGCAATTGAAGCTTCACAGTATTACCAATAAATATTTTCAGTTTTATAAACCTAAAAATATAAAGTTCTGACTAAATAACTGTTAATCCTGACTTTCCTGTATTTCCAATTTACAACTCTTTGAATATGCAACTATGTGTCCTTTGTTTAATATAATCCAATTGAGTATATATTTCATATAGAATGTATTCAGAATGATGGATTATTTAGTTTGGCCTTTCCTGATTTTTTCAATAGCATCGCCATGCGTTGGCACACAATTGCACTAAGTGTTGCCTGTTGCCAATTTTTATCAAAATTTGTTGCTGATTATAGTCTAAGCTATTGATCCTGACTATTGCAATCCTTAATTACCATCCTCATTTAATTGATACCTATAACTGCTTGTGTAGGGTGTAATTTAATAGTAGTAAGTTACTCGTTATGTCAATAGACAATGCTCAAAACATGTAAGAGGAAAAGTTTTTCCAGGGTAATTATATACTCTGATCTGACAGCAACCTTGTTAATTACCGTTTTATGAAATGTGTATGCTTAGAGTTGAAGTGATTAGGTTTATTGCACTCGAAAGTATAAACTTATATTGCATAATATGAAAAGAAATAAAATAACTCGGGTTTTTTGAAAGCTTATGCAAAAGCATGTTTTTTTTACAATTTTTCAACTAATTGAAACCCACGAAAAACTTGTTTAGATGTCTGGATTTTGCTGATCAACTGTTTCAATTTTAATTTATGTTTCATTATATTGTTACATGTCCGCTTGTTGCAATTGCTTTATATTAAGCATGGCCTCTAAGTGTTTGAAGCGTTAGACCTAACTATAATTGCATCTAAGATTATTTTAAATGCTCATTACTATTCTTGTTTCTTTAATAGCATCACAGTCATCACAAATGAAACCCATGCTTTATACGAAGTCGGTGGAAACATTTTTGAACGTTGTCTCGATCCTGGAACAAACATGCATGCATTGACAAAGATTAATCCAGAAGCAACTTGGGTGATCAAAGGACGAGTTGATGGATCTTGAATTTTAGATTTCCAATAAAGTTCATTGGCATTAAAACTTGAGCGGGCTATCCAAGATGACATGATACTTTGCTTTGTTTAGCACCGCAAAAATTGTATCAATAAAAATATATGTTTTTCCACCTAAGGATAAACCTTAGCTAAACATAAACTCTTGAATTTTGAAGTGTAGCTCAACTTCTGAAATAAATCATAAAAAATCTGACCTCGAATTGTGTACATTCACAAAAAAAGTAGTGATAATATGCAATATAGTTTTGTGATGCTGCTTTGAGCCAATGTTAACTGCTATTTGCTTTGTGGGGATGCTCTTATATCTGCAAGTTTTATATTATTGTTATTGGTATATTTCATGTCGGTCCCTAATTATGAGATTATATAATGCAAGGTTTGGCTTTGGCAAAATCTAATGAAAAATGGTATAGGATTGGTCATTTTTTTTATCATTCTTTGCTTTTGGCCTATTCTCAATGATGGACTGCATTGTAGTATAGTGTAAAATTTGTTCATAACTTAGCTAGCATTCCACCGAAGTCAAACAGATAAATACCTCCTTATGAAAAAAAAGTAATATTCAGCTGCTTAGTACAAGCACTCAATTGTGCTATACTGCCATCACGTCGTTTCAAAGTTCTTTTTTCAGCAATACTTCATGCTTGCCAGTTAAAGTTTTATCTAAAGAAGCATTTATTGTTAGTCGAATTATAATGTATGAATAGAAACTCAATTTTTTTTTGAGTTTTTGCATATAAATACAATTGTTTACTTATATTATATACTTTGTGCGGAAATATTTTTAGTAGAAAGTGAAGTTGTTTATTCCTTAATGATGGAATTTTGTAATTGAATCAAATAATGCCAAATGTAGATATATTTCAGATGGTTGTTAATTAACATTATATCAGAACAGATTACATTGTTTACTAGAAAATGCATGTTAGTTTTAAGTTTATTTTTGTTGTCTTATTATGGACCAAAATTATTGCTTTTGAGGACCAATTTTTGCCAATGACCAATTATCGTATTTTTTGAACAAAGGCATTCGAAACCTTCCTGATATAACATGTATTCCAAGACGTCGGGAATATTGTGTAATCTTTCCAAATCTTTGTTCGATTCAATATTTTGAGTAAATGCCAAATTTTCACTTTGTTAAAATTATTATATTGAATTATAGGACCAATTTTCCCAACTCAAATCTTGAGATTTGTTTATTTCCAAACTCAAATTTCTCAATTTATAACTGTTTAATATAAATCTGTACAACATCTGTGATAAAATAAATTGGAACGTACTAATGTACAGCTTACTGTGTGATTCTATTGATAAATTATATATACTCCTTGCTGAAACGCAAATATGGCGTTTTTTAACATGTTTACGGTAGTGTCTGAAATTGCACTAATATCATATTGATATACTGTGATTCTAAAGATATTGGAAAGACTGTCGTTATTTTTTTTTAATCATTTCTTCGTTTAATTTGAAAAAATATGAGATTACTATCTACTTGATTAATGTCTAATGCACTTCATTTTGAGGTACTTATTCATATTTTTGAAATGGCAAGTTGGCGACACAACTATACTTTAATATAGAAGTAATATCACTTCATAATGTAGATATTCAATTTCAATTCGTTTCTTCTCAAATACTAATCAAATATGTTCAAATCTGGATTATGTTAAAGTTTAATTATCCAACTTTTAGGCTTATGTGAAGATCCGTAGTACAATTTAGCTTGTGTTATGAATCTAAATGGAAAATAATATATCATGATATTAGCCATTTTCAAATGGTATACTTTAAAATTTTTATTAAATATATCATGGTATTCTATGATTCTCGTATATGATTCATACTTCTATAAATAGCAGTGTGTGTATCAACACCATTAGCTATGTTTGAGTTATATTGGAAGTATATGAATATATAAGTTTTATATTATAAAGTAAATTCTTTTTACATTCACTATGTCATATCATAGGTACAGATAGCTTAATATTATTGTCAAAAATTTCAATTTCGTGACAGTTTCATAACATAAAAATTCTCCCCTGTTACAGGATGACATTTGTGGTTTCGCAAGTGTGTAATCAGATATTCACTTGATTTCGTTCAAAACTTTTAAATCTGCCTGAAGCAATTTGTATCTTATATCATAAACCATACTGTGTTGTGTGGTTGAAAGACAAGATATATTGTGCTGATTTTTCTAGGTTTATGAAACTTTATGTGAGTCAGACTGGTTTTTACCATGACTTTCATGTTGACATATTTAATACAAAAAGGATAATAGAATAAATTGAAACTCTATTACAAAATAGCTTTCCCGTATTTCTGATATCAGCTAAATTTTACCTTACATGAATATTCTTAAATCGGTTTAAGCAATTTGACAATGAAAGTAAATGATAAAATGGTGAATAATTGAGTTGATTAGAAATTTCGGACTTGAGCCTTTTGAGATTCAATATTCAGTTGTTATTCAATGTATATGATGACAAATTTCAGTCTATTTTTAATGTTACATTGTTGCTTTTTTATATTATCGAATCATGTTTTCTATTTGCATTGAATCAAGTCTTCAACTTTTCTTATTGATTTTGTAATTTGTTGTATTCTTCCAATTTCCAATGTTATTAACAAAACGTTATTGTGTATTGCTTTTAAATTGTCCATTTTGTTTTGATCAAAGGAGAAATTCCATTTCACGTTGGTCCATAACATTTATACCTATTATAATCTTTATGGACCAGAATTGAACAATAAGGTTTAATTAGGATCTATGGTCGCCAGAAACAGGTGCTTTCCATCATATATAATCTGTTTCGTAAAAATTTTCTCCATTTGAAATGATTATTATGTGTGTCTATGCCAAGTCAGCCCATTTATCTCCTACGTCTTCTTGTTCTACAATATCTACAATAGCTCTAAATTAGTGGTCCTCATGATCTATAGCCCCCTCTCAAGATTCAACACTTCGTGGCCCTCTACTGTTCAATAAAAAAACTAGTTGTGTATTTAACAGGTTTCCATTAGTTTTTTCATTCACTTCCTTTAATAATAGAAAGCCAGCCATTGAAAATAAGTATAAATTACATTAAGATAAAAAAATTAACAAATCACAGGTAATTCGTTTTCAATCATCTCAAATGGTAGCTAGTGGAGGCTTTTTCTCATGGCCCCCAGAGGACTGCTTCATGCCCCTAAGGGGCCAATTTTGAGTAAGCCCGCTCTTTTGCTCTTGGCACACCCAGATGAGAGGACGGCCTCATGCCATCCCCCTCCCCCCTTCAAATTTGAGTAATTCCGCTCTAAATCGACATGATTAATCAAGTCACTTTGCATTGAATTTTGGTATTTGCTTTTTTATCATTTTATATATATATGCCTTTATATAAATCTTACGTCCATATCAGCTAAACTATTTCGTCAAATAGCCAAATGGCACTGGATAATTTCGTGTTCTTCCTTTTTTATCTTATAAATGCAGTGTTTTACATTTTTTTATTATAGCATTTTGTCAAATATGTTTGGTATTCTCAAAATAGATCACAATGGTATACTTTTTCCTTAAGAGAAAGTATGGTACTCCCGTAGTGTGTGAACCAGGTCAGGGTTAGGCCATAATTTTATTCCGATTTCCTCTTTTTAGTTCTATTACGAGTTCGGGGACTTTCTGTGTTAGCCAAGTGAATATACCATATAGGATTCAGTCCCTTTACACAACTTGATGTAAAGAATAGGTGAACAGAATTAGTTACCTGTATATTGGTACACACACTTATATTTGACCCTAATCTGTTTTGATTCTTCTTTTGAAAAATAACGACATTTGATGTTAAGCAGCTACATTTATCTTTATCATTCAGATTGTCTTATTGTGATACCTACCGGTAATTAATAGTTTATTTATCCATTCCGTCCCTCAGTGTAATGTTTCTATTTCCAAAAATCAAGTCTGTTTATGATTGATTTGTTTATTGTTAAGTGATCATATTCAAGAATGAGACTAAATGCTCTCACTGCCATAATATGGATATTTATTGTTGCTGGATTCAGGACCACGGCTTTGATTTTGTATATTTTGATTGTTGTATTTCTTATTATTTTTTTTCTTTTTGGCTCCGCTATAAATGGACCTTTATTGTTCACTCAGTCCTTATTTTGATTCAATTTTCCTCTTTTTTTTTCTTCCTTTGTATCAAATATCAATTCACGAAATAAATGCACCGCTGGGATGCAGTGCATAACAATTTATTGTTTTTTACTAAATGTATCTGATGGTTGGTATAGGTCAATCAATGTATTGTAAGGTGAGTGAGAAGTTTTTAAGAAATGTTCTGGCAACGCTAGAGTTACGATGGGAAAACAGGATTGTATCACTCTTTGGAACTGAGATACGACTGTCGGACTGTGGCATTTTATTCCTTCAAATCTATCTAGTTTCTAGTGTATTGTAGGTTGTCGTAGCAACTATGACGGATATACGTGATAAGAAGACAATCATTCTTGTTATTACTGATCTTGACAGCGATAACCTTACCTGGTGTCTCGGGCATCACTTTCGCGTGTCAAGTCAATCCAGTTCACATCGTCGGTTAGAAGTTTACGAACGGAATTAACAGATTTAACTTTGATCAACGTACAAATGCTTGTCAATCATTTTACAGTTACCGTATATTTCATTAACCCGAATGCTCGCGACAGCGAGTTGAGCAAAATTTCATGATTGTACGCTTTCTCGAACCGCTGCAATTCTCCAGACAGCCTCTTCCGATAGATTAAATATAATGGACTGATTTCAAAAATTCTGGAAATGTTTTTTCATTCGCATCAACACTAGGCTCATCAATCGTGTCGCGATGTTCTTCTCCCTATTTTAAAGTTAATCATCAAGTCCCCGAGGACTCATGACGTCATATTTAGTGTTGGACGTGAACCAGATCATCTTGTAATCAACACGTTTTAAAAATGTGTGTTTACGTCATATTACCTTGTGTGATTGTAGCCTGTTTCTAGGAAAGTTTGGCGTCGGTTTACATTTAGACAGTATTTTACAATAATTAGGTTCTACAAACAAATTAATTTTAGCGTTTTGATGCTTAAACTAGTTTTTATTTACGGCATGTTGCCAATAAAGTGAAGAGGTTAATGGCAAGCTAACGCGCGCAGCTCAGCCCTTGCCTCGAGCTATTGAAATATAAACGTTTCGCACAGGCTCAACGAATTCAAATTGGAGAAGACGTATACGAGATAAGGGCGGATCTTTCAAATTAGATCAACGCTAGTCTCATGATAGGCGGCTACAAACTAGCTATCAGTACTATATAAATATTAATACCATAATTTTAACGTTATTTAGTTTTCAGCTCGACTGAAGAAACCCAAAAGTAGGCTACCCTGATCGAGTAAAAATTGGACAGGCTATATGTAACCATGGCAGCAAAAATGGCAACAGGGAAAAATTGAGCATATAAAGTTAGACAGTTCCAAGGATAGGATAGGATTTTCAATTTGACACAGGGAGAAATAAATTCGACAAGACATCTTAATTTCATGGCGAACGATGGGCTCTCGCTCGGTCACCAGCCCATGTCGGGTATACGCATAGTTATTTGTTTTAGATGCATGGACTTAAAGGTTTGCATGCTGTAGCAATGTCATATCTAGAAAGTGTGATAATGACAACATATTTCCATATATATTCCTTTGTCAGTATTGATTATATTTTACATGACAGATGAATTAAGTATTTGAATCTTCTTCGGTTTCAGTTTTAAAAAATAGAGTTATCAAATGGCTACTGAAAATGATGAAAGTTATGTGAACAAAGCAGAAGGGTATCTGCGTAGAAGTGATGAAGCATTTGCCATCAAGGATTACACCACGACAGTACTAAAAGCACGCCAAGCGCTTGTCGAAGTCCACAATAACATAAATTCTGTAACGTCAGACATATTTCGTGAAGCATTGAGACTTATTACTGAAGTATTAAAAGTGGTATGGTCTGATAAAGATAGGCCTGAAACTGAAAAAGACCTGCGAGGCATTTTGGATCACGCCATTTATGCCCTGAACACAGTTGAATACATGCATGACGAAGAAACGAAGTCCCAACTACTGACAGAAGGGAACGAATTACAGATGCTAATTGGTATTTAATATACCGTATATTGATTGACACTTAGCTACATTTATTTGTCTTGATATAAATCAGATAAAATAAACTATTTTAATAACCAGTGAAATAATAATCATACCTTACGTTGTGCATTGTTCTCAAAAAAAAATGTAGTTGAGATCTGTGCGCATAAAAAGTATTTTCTAGAATGTATTTGCCAAACTATGGTACTAAAATTGTTTGTACACATACGGGAAAATTCTCCACACCAGTTCGCTGTAGGGCAAATTATTCGTTGACGGATTGTGAAAAATCTTGATGTTAATTTATGCTTACCAACTGAAATCTTGATGTTAATTTATGTTTACCAAGTGATCGTTACGAACAGAGAATTTTTGCCCAACATCTACAAAAATCGGAGATGTCTTGAACATTTAAATAACTACATTAGTCAATATTCTCATACTTACTCTATATACTCATTATAAAGTCTATATAAAAATCAAACATTTATATAAGACGAATTTAACTCAACAAAACTTAATCCTATAAAGTTTAAAGATATTTATTTCTCTAATCCCGAACTTTCTGTACCCATCATCAGTGGAACAAATCATTTTTACTTTATTCTACTTTGTTACAAATTTCTTGGTTTCTTCCCTTTTTTACCCGGTATGAATCGCACACAAGTTGCAACACAATATCATCAAACTTTTATAAAACTATTAAACCATGTTCAATGTCTTTAGGTAATCTAGACAAAATCTGGAAAGAGGAACTCGAGGTAATGAAAGAATTCAAAATCGCCTATGATAAGGATGGAACGAAACTGGAAACTAGCAAAGAAGCCGAATTTCTGCATAAACTGGGGAACACCATTTTGCAGAGATCGACAGAAAAGCAGAGTCTTCTACAAGGATGTGCATTGCTCAAAACCGCCTTGATTCGAAAGGGATCAAATTCGTATAATATACTGAAAGACATGAGACGACTTAGCAAACTTCTTCTGGAATCAGCAAGAGCAAAATCACGTCTAACCGATTTTCACGAAATATCGCAGAGAATCTACAAAGATAACGTCAAAAAAGTAAGAAAAAAAACTGAAAAATCGCTGCAAAAAATAAAGCAATTTCATGGAACCGGAGTCGAATCCGGGTCATATGACTATCTCGAAGATATTGATAATATCAAAAATATAATGACTGATATTGCGGACGGGTATTCTGAAATCATGCACGCTGTATCGAGCAAATGCATAGAGATTTTGGGAGAACCCCCATGTAAGTTCAGTCATGTTGCGATTGGACCATTAGCTACGAAAGAAATCACCACATATTCAAAGGTAGAAACATTGATATTATTGGACAATGATGCTAAAAAGCAAGAAAACTTTGAGCAAGTTCTGGAGTATTTTCGATGGTATTACTTATTTTTTCAAGTTATTGTGATATATTTTGGAGAATCTCCCATAGATGAGTTCGGAATAGCTTCATTAAACGACCATTCCTTTCATGACTGCAGAAAAAATTGGTACAAAGACAATTTTACACCCCGTGGCCTGCGATGTGAAAGTATGAAAGAAGCTGGGAATGCGCCAATCAAGACTGTAAAAGATACAATGAAACTCATTTCTACGCCTGTTAAAATTGCTGATTCCAGATTTATGTTAAAATTGGCTACAACTTATTGCATCGGTGGAAGTGAAGGAATACATAGAAAATTTGACAAACGTGTGAGAAAACTTTTGTTCTCGGATTCTGAAGAATCGGGTCGTATGAAAGAAGTAATTCTTTATCAAATGAAGGAAAGTATTTACGATTTCCAAGTTGGAAACTTGGTACTAGAGAATGAATGTTCAACCAAAACAATTAACATCGACACAATTTACCATTCCTTGAATATGTTTCTGAATGGTATAGGACATTTTGCAAACTTTACATCCAACTGCGTTTTTGACATAGCTGAAACTCTTCTTAACGATCAGTTGCTGAGTGCGACTGACGCCGAAAGCATAAAAAGTGCTATTACCTTTACTTATGTCGTTTGGTTACGTGTTGGTGCTTCTAAAAACGATAAAGATTCACAACATCAAAATTGGATCAGGCCCCTTGCAAATTTCATTGAAATGGTGGGCGAAGAAAATTTCGTTAATCTGTTCCAAGTAATATCTGATTTGCAAAATTGCATTGAGGAAATTATTGATTCATGTGGCAGGTTAGACTCCCTAAAAAGCTATGGTAAAAAAACAGACGACATGGAAGTCAAAGCAAAAATTTTTACTCATTTCGGGATGTTTGAAAAAGCTTTAGAATGTATGAAATCACATGATCAAAAGAATCATGTCGCATCTAACAACGCGTCAATACATTTCCTGAAAGGCATATGTCAACTAAAATTAGAACGATTCGATGATGCTAATGAGAACTTTAACGTCTGTTTGGGAATTATTTTAAGTTTACCTGAAGTGGATCAACCTAAAATCATTCGGTTTCTTCATTATCGTATCGGAAAACATATGCTTGCAAACCGTCAGTTATCAGAAGCTAAAAATCATCTTTATCAGGCCAAAGCGGCCATAGAGTCGAGAGACGAAAGTGCATGTACTTTAGGACGGTTGCACATGAGAATAATTTTAGCTTTATCGGAAGTGCATTATTTGACCGAAGAATATCAACTTTGCTTGGAATACTGTGAAAAATATTTGATCAATGAATCAAGTACTAACAAAAACAAAATTATCTTTGAGATGGAACAGAGATACGGCGAATGTTTGTATAATTTAGGTCATTACCGTGACTGTGTATCGGCATTGCAAAACGCGTTGCAACTTCAGGATTACGATAATAAGGACGAATCAAAGCAGCAACATTCTTCCAGTACTATATCAATACTGTTAAAACTTCGAGACTGCTTCACCAAACTTAACCAGCCAAGCCTTGCTGAAAAATATTGCATGGAAGCGCTTGAAGCTATAAATGTATCAGATAATCAAGAAGAATATGATATTCCCCACTTGAAAATCATTCTATCACAATGTCGTTTAAAACAGAATAAGTATCAACAGGCAGCAGAGGGAGCTTGTGAGGCGTTTCTCGTGGCGTTCGATACGGATCACCATGGCATAGACAGGATGGCGATTGCACAATCTGTGGTAAAAATCATGTTGAGATGCTTGCGACCTGTCCTTTCTTCCAGTATGATTGACACTGACGTTGATTCGTATGGTGACAATCAACTACGAATTGCTTTCGAATGTGCGTCAAAGGTTTATAATAAAATGTGCAGCCAAACGATATTAAAAAACAACGAACTGGAGCGGGACAAATCTATTCTGATACGGGCTATTCAGCAAGGACTTTATGAGCTGAACGGATATGAATGTGTATTGGATTTTGGTAAAATTTCAGATTCTGCCACAACGGGATTAATCGGAGCTTCTATTTTGATTCACAATTTGCTAGATATAATTCTATCTCATGATGCGATAATGGACCATTGTGAACAAGATTCCGAATGTCTATGTGAAATGGCGCGGTTCTGTAATGTTCGGGATTCATTCAGTCCTTTCGGGGCAATCATTGTTTTCACCGGATGGGTTTCCGCACTGTACGAACAATCCGGAAATGGTGAAAATATGGTCAATTTAATGGACGAAAATTTATCTAGTCAACCCGATGAACAGATAATAATCAAATTACATTGTTTGATTAAAGTAGCAAAATTCCTGCTAGATTCTCTCTCGGATAAAGGGGATTTTCCCAAACCCGCTAGTGAACAGTTTCCAATATTGGGATTTGTGACAGATATTTTTGGCATAATCGTACGTCAGCCTTGTGACAGTAACAGCTTGTTGCACGAAACAGCAAATCTCATAATTGCAGCGGCATCATGCTGGATGAAACTCCAAGGATATGAAGCTGCTTTAGAACTCCTTAACGAAGCCCTTGCAATGCAAGAAAAACTAGCCTCGTCAACAGCAGGCACGATGTTTATGGAAACTACATCAGTAATAGAAAACATTGGGGTATGCTTGGCAAAACTAGATCGCTGGGATGAAGCAAAAAATTACATTAGTCGTAACTCAAAGATGAAGGAAAACAGAAGAAAAAGCAGAGTGTATGAAGATAATTCCATATTGCACATACGAGTAAAGTCCGCCCAATGTAGTTTAAATTTAGGAAACTGCCTTGAAGCAGCGGTTTTAGCGAGTGAAGCGTTTAATGAAAGTTTGATTATGGATGGGGATGAAGTGAGAAATGAATCCATGATTTCTTCAGCTAATATAGTCATGAAAGCTGCTCTTATAGTGTCAGTACATGACCATGTATCATCCAAAGCAGGCAATTTTTCTGAAGAAGTAATTCGCAACGTTAACGAATGTGCTACTACACTACGAACAACTTTGGAAGATCAGGCTGACAAACTTGGAAGTTCGTTTGTGGAAATGATAGAATCGTTATACTATGCTTCTGGAAACTGCCATTATGTGTTGAATGAGCCGAAAACAGCTTTGAAATGTTTTAAAAAAGCTTTGCGTATCTTGAAGCGCAAAGGTCGTTTTGCTGGGATCGAGAAATCAATAAATCTAAACATGGCAAAATGCCTGATGACCCTTCGAAAATATAAAAAATCGGAATCAAAACTGAAAATATTTCTGGAACCTGGTAAAGATAAGACCGCTCACGCACATCCTAGCTTGGCTCTCATCCTGCTTGCTTTCTGCTCACTGAGGCGCTACAAATTCAGACGCTGTGTAGAGTACGCTATAGACGCACTTCGCAAAGTTAATTCAACGGACTCTGTCGTTCTCCAGAAACAAATCAAAAGAGCTGCTGCAAAAGTCCTACTAGAAGCCCTCTTGTGGGCGGTGAATTCTTCACTTCTGGACTAAAACATTGAATACTATCCCAAAGTTACCGGGAGGAATAATCTGTACACACTGTTTGAAGAATGACTGAATCGAAATATTTAAGTATGAAAAATGGATTTGAATTGTATATACCGTAAATGCTCGTTTTAACGCCCGGTCTTGATTAAGGGCCCGTTTGAATAGCCGCCCGTGTGAACAGGACATAAAAATAAATAAGGGCCGGTGCTTGAATACCCCGCCTGGTGTAAATTTTTTTTTTTTTGCGGATTTATACCTGCGGTGCGTAGAAAAAGTCAAAATTTTCATTATTCTCGTTTAAATCATACTTGAGAACTGGAAATGACAATATACGTTATTAATTATTGTAACGATCGATCTTATCTACTGGTATTTTTGTGTGTAATTTTACTTTAAAAATAACAAGCGCCCCTGCTTGAATAAGGGCCGGTTTGAATGAGGGCCCGGTTAGTGAGTATGTTTAAAAAACTAAGCACCCGGGCTATTAAACGAGCAAATACGGTAAGCACTTATAATTATCACTGTGCCTGTAGATTTCGCGCAAATAAAAATCATTCACGCATTCATGATTGCAATATTTGTGTCGCCTCATTACCTAGTCTTTAGGAACTCATTACTATGTTGAGGCGTAACGTGGATCAAGTCATAATCATGGGTTTACTTAATCGCGTAATGATCTGAAGTAAAATAATATACTTATTTGAAACTATAAATTTAAAACACACAGTCCGTGTTATTGCTGGGCACTATTTCTATTAGGCAGACAATACATAAAACGCAGTAGAATAGCGCCACCACACGATTTTGAGCATAATTTTGTCAACTTTGTCCTCTCGTTAATTTACCAGTTCCACAATTTGTAAAGTGAAAAATAGCACCTTGTTAGACACGGAGTGGACTTATGGATCGTTTTGTCATTATGACGTTTTTGTTCTTTATTATCGTATGGAAAATCGGCGTTCTCTTTCAATGGTTAAAACATTGTACTTTTCGCTAGAAGACTATTTCAATTAAGGTTGAAACTGAATTAAGAAGAATGGATCATCGCCACAGGACCTGTAAAAGCTATGACAGTCCCTGTAACGTTACCGCGATACAGGTATTGATAAGTTACCGCATAGGATTTCCGGGGCATTTGGTGATAAAATATTTGGCCAGTTTTTTGGTTATGCCTCCCAAATTTAGGTTTAAATTGAATTGTCTTTCTTCATTTCAGTTGCAGTAAATAAAGTTTAGTCCGTAAAAATTGCAATAGGCTAGCTTAAAATTAGCTATAAACACCTTGAAATAGCAGATTTTTATATTCTGAATGAAAATGATCGTTATGAGCGTGCAAATCATTTAACAAGAACAAAATATGGAACAAAATTTTGCAATATATATATAAATACTTTTTCTGGGACCAACGATCTGGAAGCCATCCACAAAATGATTCTCGCGCGCATAGTTACATAAAAGTAAATAATTTACTTTAAAATGGGAATTTTACTTAGGTGCAATGAGGGTGTAAAGTGCAAATGACGACCCGCGCAAATTTTTTCAAATTTCAGTGACAGTGAGCATGCAGACAATTCGGGATACATCTCGAAGGCTGTGCAAACATTGAGTAAAAGCTCACCAGAAATGTGCTGAACCGGAATAAAGACAGGATTCATTCCTTGATAAGCGGATAAAACGGCCTAATCATGCGGCGAACTACGCCTCTAGTTCAGTTGCCAGCTACATGGACCGGGAATGAGAAGAGTCAACTTACCAGCTTATCAATACCGATGGACTCATAAGGTTGAGCAACCAAACCAGGACCAGAGTCTACGTGACCAGGTCCAGCTATCCCCCTCAAGGTTCGAATGTGCTTAGTTCAGAACATTGACATCGGTACAATGGTTATCTATAACGCTGTGCCATACGAGCTTCCTGATGAAATGAGGCTCGCGCGCCAAATTCGGCACGCGTGCCAGGGGTTACCCACCCCTGGTCTACCCTTTCTTGAAGTTACTGTGCCGTACCTAATTAATAACGTTTCATTAGCTAGTTAGTGCTCAACTAAAATTGCTGTCCATGGAAAGGATTTACGAGTGTTAGCTTACTTATCAAGTCAATAGCTTACTTATACTTTATATCACCGTCTTAGAACACCTCAACTAATATTAACTGAAAAAGACGATGAAAAGGCTACCCAACTCAACGCAAAAGCATGCAGTACATTTGAGATTCATCCGACTGCCACTGTTGCCGGAAAAGTAGAGAATATAGGACAGATGGTAACACATATCTTTTGTAGTAAAAGCGTCTCTTTGTAAAACATGCAACTTTTGGAAATGGGAACAAAGTATTATTTGTTACTAAATTTCTAGGGAGCATTACAAAATAATTCAGATAGTTCCCTTATGTGCGCTACGAAACTGAAAGAAAAACATGTCTTCGCCCAGCGGTCTAAAATAAAAATACCATCTTTGCTGCTCACTAAAGCATTTCTTATTTAAATTCCGATAACACAGAAATGACCACTTTCCTCACTATAATTTTGTATATATAGGGCACCAAAGTCTGACGGCATCTAAAAGACATGATCCGTCTCTGATATTAGGGCTGTAAATTTGACACTTGACAAACATACTAATAAATTCTGGTTCGAACCCCCCTTTATCGTGTCTGTGCTTCTGTATCCTCTATATCAGGGGTCGGCAACCTTTTGAACTCAGCGTGCCAGTTTATGAATTATGAACACCTTCGCGTGCCAAACATTTTTATGTGTTTGATTTACATAGTCAACTACCTGATTTGAACAGTAAAATGATGAAAAACAGATTTATTATATAGAATGAATAACGAGTATGGAAATTAGCTTACGCGAGATTTCGGCATACGGCAAATCTACCTTCGACTTGTCTTTGAACGAAGTAATAGGTATGAAGGCCGCACACGATTAGTTTTTAAACGCGACAATACTAAAGAATATAAAATTTATTTCATCACTCTCTCGCTAAAATGATAAGAATCTTGGCTTCCGTGAGGTAGGTACCTGCTACAGGCAGAAATTTAACTTTAGTTATTTAACGCATTAAGTTTAGTTATTCTGGTCCCGATAAACATGTTCAGACTTGCTCTCGTTTATTTATTCGTTTGTTTATATTAAGAGCCCTGACCGAGAGAAAGTTTTGACAATGATGGTGCAATACTCTCTTATATCAGCTGATTGTATTCATGCCCTTGTTATTCTTATTGTATCATACTGGGTGTCCTATTTATTAGTGTCGGATACAGTGCAATGAGGCTTGGTCACGTGAATTTCTTTGTTAGAAGATGCGTCTACTTTGCGGCATTGAGTTGCAAATTGTAGGGTTTTAATTATGCTGATTTAGGATTGTTAAGATATTTAGGGAAGTTTAGGGTTATTTAGTAATATAGGTTCTATTTAGTTGTATATCGAAGGCTAATTATACTATTTTATTGTTTTTGTATCTTGTAGCTAAATTTAAGTACTGTTGTTGGGCTGGAGACACAAATATATTGTAACCACACACCAGAGAGTTAGTTACGGAAGTAGATTGACAAGACAGCCCAATAAGCAGAAATAGGACCTGTAGAACCTCTTAACTCTACAGTACCCAGTCAGCCAAGCGCGCGACCAGGATTTTCAAAAAGGGGAGGGGGGGGAGACAAAATGGGAAATTTCCATTCCTTTCTGAAAAAGTCGCCTCGATTACGCGCTCGTAAGGAGAGCTGACTTTTCTGTCGCGTAAAATATTCAATTCATGACAGCTACGAAAATCTTTAAAATTTCCTCTTATATTGATATAATTGTGTCCAACGTAACTCGCGGTTGTGTCTTCTTTCGTCAAAATATAAACATTACCAGTCTAAAATACCGCTTTATCTGTTGACGTAAAAATCTGAGATAAACATGTCTAATTGTATTTAGTGTCGATACTTTTATGTTATCTTACGAATTCGTTGTCATCGTTAGAAAAATCTCAAGATCTGTAATAAAAATCTCATATAATACAATTAAATACATATGGGGTATATCAGTAAATCAAAATTGCATCTTTATCGCCTTGAAATCTCCGCGGAACGACTTTTTCGACGGATAATAACGATTTTTTTGTTGTGCAAAGTAATCAATCCACGACCGATACGGCCATATTTGAATTGTCTTGATTTGTTATAATTTACTTGTCTTCGATTTAACCTGCGGTTGCGTCACCAAAATAAATGCCTCCCTACCCTAAGAAACACGACAATCCGCCGATATAAAAATGTGTGGTAAACTTCCCGGTTATATCTAGTTTTGATCCGTATTTTTGGTATTTTGCGAGTTCGACAAATCTGAGCTGTACTTGAAACAATGACACCGCTCTATAGCAATGCTGTCACTCAGATTATTTTCAAGATGAACCAGTTAGAAAAATCCCCAAGTCTGCTATAAAGTCTTACGGAGTAAAATGTATTTATATATCACCACAAACCTTATAATATGAATCATATATTATTAACATAAAAATTTCCGACGGCAATTTAAAGTAATGGATAAAAAAGTAAAATCCGCGCACAATTGATTGTGTTTCGACTTTCGATTCTAGTGACGTTATGATTCTCAACGCCGTCCAAACTTATGTGTGCCCTGGAGCCCTAGGCACACGAAATTTTGCAATTTACAATGTCTAGAAAAACTTTTTTCTGTCGCTGACCTTCCACAACAAATTGGTTACGGTTTTATATTTTAGCATTTTATGTTGTCGCTTTTCAATCAAAAATTTTGCGTGTCCGATTCACTCCATTATTAGCCTCCAGCATCTCGCCACCGATGATTGTATAATAACTCTCAGGGAATTCACAATTCTGGGCAATTACAAAAAGAAAGTAATTATCATCGTTGTTGTGAAATAATTCTTATGATTCAGGGAGAATAGATACCAACCGTAGAGTGTTCACGGCCTAAATAACACGTCACGCTGACAAAAACAATCGGCGATTTTTAGCAAAAAGCTGTACGAAGCTCCCAAAAGTATGAATTGATAAAATAATATTCAATATTTCACAATATTCTAAGGGCAAAAAGTAACCCAACAGTAGTAGTAGTAGGTCGTTAAACGAGTAGTTTTAAGTAGCGAAGCGTTTCCGAAAGTAGCTAAATATGGCAACGCTGCACCGCGCATGCTTATCTACACCAAAGTGATTATAGTCACTACACTGATTTCGCGTACAGATTTCGGCCTCTCGTCGATTGCAGTTAA